AGCCGCCAGGGTCTGCAGAACTCAGGCGCGTTCCAGCCCTTCACCAGTTTTTTTGTTTCAAATATCTGGGCCATCATTGCAAGAAGTCCTGATATACAAGGTACCTGTACAAGGAGGCCCAAATCAGAACAGCCACCCACTTCTCCCCCTCCCACACATGTTAGCGTGTCGCACGGCGCAGGAGGTGCATTCAGATGTACGATGGCCTAGCTGCGAGCGGACTGCGCCGCGATGTGCTGAGCCCTCAGCCATGATCCACGGAGCAGGTATGAGGCCTCTGAGCTTTGGGCCCTGTTGAGTTCTCCCTTTGTTTGAAAAAAACCATAAAGCTCCAGACCCTTCAGCTCTTGATCAGCTACTGAGACCGCCATGAAGCTTTTACATGAGAAGATATGAGAAGTTTGAGTGGTTTGGGAACTAGATCTGCTTCAGGTTCTCCACCAGCACCACCATCAACAGCTGCGGAGCAATCGGCTGCTGGGGGCATTCACTGCACATTCTCGCCGCATGTCGTCAGTCAAATAAATGGATTTGTACTTTTGGGGGGGCTCAGGTTTAAGAAGGGCACACGGGTTGCACACCCGCGAAACATACCCCGAAACATAGCCCAAAACATACCCCCCAGTTTTGCAGGTAAAGTAGCTCATGATGCTGCGAAACATACCCGAAACATTCCCCTGAAACATACCCCGAAACATACCCCCAAACATACCCGCGAAACATACCCTGATCCCAACACCTGTCCCCCCCCCCCCCATTATCGAACAAACCCAAATAAGTAAGGTTTGAGATTCAGAGGGTTCAGGGTTTTAGGGAGTTAAGTCAAGGAATTCCAACCGGCGGTTCCCACGGGTACAAATACTGAAGAATCCGCCAAGTTAGAAAGCCCTTCTAAGGTTTCCAGCTAAGGGTTTGGGGGTTTGTACATAGACAACACTTGTGTTGGTTCATGAACCCTGAACCCTAAATCCCAACCCCGAAACCCAAAACTCAATCCCCAAGCAAAGCTCAGGAAGAGTCCCATGCGCGACAGATCCATCCCAACGATGTCTCTGTCTCTGCGGCCGTAGCCGACTCTTTCCTAGATTAGGTCTTAGGGCTTAAGATTTCGGGTGGGGTGTACGGGTTCGGACTGGTGCAGACAAGTCTCAAGAGACGGAGCACAACGTACAAGCCTGGCCATCGACATGGATGTGGTCTCAATGAGTCAGGTGCCAGAAATGAGTTCCAGAAGATGCTAGGGCAACTCCTTGTAGGTTCTACATAGAATGGACCCTGAACAAGCATGTGAATCACTACACAAACAAGCAATGAAGCAGCGCAGTTACTGTCGTCAGTCACCTCAAGAAATGCCACATAGCAAGCAGACCCCTAACTCCCCTCCCCACCCCCCCACCCCGATGCCCCGGACCAGAAGCGTATTCAACAGCCAAGCAGTCTCAAGCGGCATCAGTTCTCCACAGTACTCACTATACCCGATTCCATGACGTCCTAAACCCTAGACCCTGGACGCTAATCCCGAAACCCTAAACCTAAACCCTATCAACCCTATCAACCCTATCAACCCTATAAACCCTATAAACCCTATAAACCCTATAAACCCTAAAAACCCTAAACCCTAAACCTCCAACCCATCTTTGAGGCCTTCGTCGTCGCACCGCGCCGCTGGCCGCAGGGCCTCGCCCTCGTCGCCGGCGTGGCGCGGGCCGGGCTTGCCTGGGCCTGAACATGCTTTCCAAGTAATGATGACAATGCAATTGCAACCATGGTAGTCAGTAGTAATAGTAATGCAGTAGTAACAGTAGAAGTGAGAATAGTAGTAATACAATAATCATAATCATAAAAATCATAACGAAAGTAATAGTGATAGTACGAAAAATGCGAAAGTACGTTGGGGTTGTGCCTTCTGCTTTGGCTGGTCTACTGTCAAGTTTTTGCAGGGGTGAACCTCATGTTGGGTTCACCATGGTGAAATGAATTTTGGTGGAGCAATGCTGATTATGCATGTCGGGTGATTGGAAGGACAGTTTGTCCTGCGAGTGCTGCAGGGCAGATAAGGCAGCCTTGCCTATGGTGCCATGGTTTCAGGGATTCCGACAACAACTCCTCCGCTCACCCCGGACCATCAAGGTTGCAGACGCGGTGACTCTCAACGCGGTGGCAAACCTGGTGGAGCTTGGTAGCGGCTGGCAGACGCTACTTGGCGACGACAGGAGCTTGTTCGAGCGGTTGTCCCAGGTGCCCTGGCAGGGCTCATCTGGCAAGTGCACCCGTGAACTTCAAACCGACAATTAGAAGCCTAGGCCTTTCTTGCCGGGAGAAGGCACTAATGATTGGGATGTTCCCCCCTTGTACTAACAGTCCTTAATCGGGATTGCAATCCCTACTAAGGACTGTTAGTATAAGGGGGACCATCCCAAACTAATTCGTACTAGGCCATTGAGAGTCTGAAGGTCGATACACTTGTCTGCGAAGAAGGACTGACGAGCTGCTTCCATGATCTCCAATTTGTCTACTAGGATGATGCCCAGTATCGTATCCTTTTTCTCTTTTTTAGGGGTTCCTCATATGTTCCCTTATGAACTCGGTCAAACAAAACAGGGGCACCCCAGATGTAGAGACAGAAGAGATCATAATGTGGAGCACTGCGCACCATGGAGTTCAGAATTCAGAGCCGGGTTTATATTAGAGTCTGTTCGAGCTCGGAGTCGTGGCGTAGCAGGACCTGCAGGCCACGAGCCATCATAATACACCACGACTTTCTGTACTGCACAAGGTCACAAGGTGCTTGATGGGAAGATGCACCTGAACGCACCTTCAGCACTGGGACAGTGAATGGGAGGTGTTCTAGATTATGGGTCACTTTTGGGGAGTCCGGGCCCTCGTCAAGCCTGAATGCCTTGCCTTCCAACAGCGACCAGAAAAGCAGAGGCTCGCAAGCTTCAAACTGCAAGTATTCGGCCCTAAGCTTGGAATGGTTTGTTCTCATAGATTTTTTACAAGACCCCTATGGCGCAAGATGGGATCCTGCAGTAAACTATCTCCAAACCCGCGAAAACCCTCAAAAACCCCACTCAAATCCTTAACCAGACCCTCCAAAACCCTAAAACCCTAAAACCCTAAAACCCTAAAACCCTAAAACCCTAAAACCCTAAAACCCTAAAACCCTAAAACCCTAAAACCCTAAAACCCTAAAACCCTAAAACTCTAAAACCCTAAAACCCTAAAACCCTAAAACCCTAAAACCCTAAAACCCTAAAACCCTAAAACCCTAAAACCCTAAAACCCTAAAACCCTAAAACCCTAAAACCCTAAAACCCTAAAACCCTAAAACCCTAAACCCTAAACCCCTCAACTTCCAGATGTCAGGACCTCTTTGCCTTGGGGAGCCGCCTCGGGGCGCTCGCCCGCGAAGTGCTTTGGGCCGAGGCTGCGCTCTAGAGGGTTTAGAGTTGAGGGCTTCGGGAACCCTAAATCCTTGAAAGCTTTAGACGTCCTGCAAGGTATGATTTGGGTGTTGGGTGCTGTGTGTGTGTGTGAGTTACCTGTTGGACTCTGCTACACAACTTTGAACGCTGGCCCCGAACCAGCGCCCATAGAATCTCAAAGCACCTGAGTCCCAAACATTGATCTCTAAGACTCTAAGCCCATAGACCTCGACCGTCTCTTGAATTGCGATTCGCTCACCATCGCCAAGCCCGGTGAAGGCCCTGGGGTGTCTTCAGTACCTTCCTCAAGCTCGTGACCTGACTGCCACATGTACGGTAGGATTGGCTTCAACAGAAAAAATTAATTTTCAAACAAATTCATATATATATATATGTATATACATATATATATATATACGCATACACGGTTCAAGACCGTTCTATACTTTTCTTGTGTATTAGGTTGGAAGAATTGTTAATGTAGCTCATGGTTCCGGAGGTCCACAAGGTTCGATTCTGCTGGATCTGAGACTAGGGTTGTGCAGGAAGATTCTGCACTCTCTGGGAATTGATACTGCACATGATGTAGCAGAGCTCCTCCGCGACGATGACGAGTGCTGCTGCTACTTGCAATACACACTGTTAATGTCTGCTGCTCTGTTGCCGATATCAGTCGATGCTCCTCCTATTCCTGGGCCCCCCCCCCCCCTCCTTCCGCCCCCGACCTCCGACTACGAATAGGGGTCATGATGAATTCTACGCCCGTTTCTACTGCCGGTGCCCTGGCTAACATTGCCACGACCACCACAGCCATCACTTCCTATTCTACATTAACGAAGGCTTTCGTACAGAAGCGCATGCAAGTTCCTCAATGTAAGCCTCGACGATTGTGCCAGAAGTCCTAACAGTCGCAACAAGCATGATCGTGAGGGCTCACGGGGAACGACATCATCGCGGCATCGGCATTGAACTCCGTCCGGGAGTACTGGCGAGTGGGCGTCAGGCTGGGACACGGGGCAGGATTCAGCTTGTGAGATGACGTTGGGCTCCCCCATGTGCCGGCCTTTTAGCTTTATGAAAGGGATGCCTTGTGAAAAGAAGCCCAAACTTGTGAAGGCTTGTTGAACAGCCCAACTCCCAAGCTCCCCAGCAATGCTGTAAAATGCGATTCTGCTGCAGACGATGCACCAGTAGAGTAGAGAGAATCTTTCATTTCGCTGTAAAGATTTCAAGTCGAGGCTGATTTGGTCTCTCTCTACTAAACGGTCCCGGGATTTCATATGATTTCAAATAGGGATATATGAAACTAGAAAGGACAGCGAGGCCCCGCGGACCCCACCCTAGACGCCTACACCGTCACGCGATCCTGAATAGCTGCAACGCCTCTAAACCCGCAAGGTGCAGGGTTTGCAGGGTTTAGGGTTTATGGGTTTCATGGTTTTTGGGTTTGAATAGGGTACCCTAAACCCTAAACCCTAAACCCCAAAAAAGGTACCCCTAAACCGGCTAACTGTTTCGGGGCTCTGCCCCGGATCGGTCAGCCTGGCGTGCTGGGAAAGGCTTCTCGAAGCCATGATGGAGCGATCCTTGCGCTGCAACGCGGTTCATGTGGCGTCTCGGCAGGAGGGTTTAGGGTTTAGGGTTAAGGGCCTTAACAGTTTAGGGGTTTAGGGGTTTAGGGTTTAGGGACGAATACCCCGTAACACCCCAAAGCGTTTTGTGCACCTGGACCCTTTGAGTTCTGAGGCACGTCAAATGCCAAGCCCAGACCCTAAACGGCACCCAAAAAATCGCCAAGCCGACAGTCTTCAGGCTGGGGGAGAACCCCAAGTCACAAGGACATCGGATGATCAGGTCAGCAGAGGATACTTGTCCTGAGGACCGTAATCCGGTCGTTAACCCTACATGGCTGAAGCCCTTCAACCCACAACTTAGGACCACAAACCACAAGCCTTGAAGCCAGCTCCTGTACGCTGAGCGTTACAACAATATGGGGGGGGGGTATGTCTACATCATAATAATAGTAATAATGATAATAATTATATATATATAAGTATTATCTTATACAGCATATTGTATTGTATCTATGTACACCGACAATAACTAGTGCATGCTTTTCGTTAGGGTACATGGGCTACTCCTGGTGCCGAAACCATGCACCTTGGCAGTGAGCGACCTTTGAGCGAAATCTATTCTGAGGCGTCCTTGCTGGGGGCCTTTGCGACAGGAGACGTGCAGATTTTTTTTTTTTGGGGGGGGGGGGGGAGGGGGGGGGGGGGAGGGGGGGGGGGGGAGGGGGGGGGGGGGGGGGGGGGGGGGGGGGAGGGGGGGGGGGGGGGAGGGGGGGGGGAGGGGGAGGGGGGGGGGGGGGGGGGGGGAGGGGGAGGGGAGGGGGGGTTGGGGGGGGGACTGTCATGTCTCAAGACCCTAAAACCCTACCCTACATATTTCCGTGGTAATTTAGGGCTTGCGGCACGCTGTAATGCTGCTGAATCATGCTCTATTTGTATATAGTTTTAACGCGACGCGACCCGCCTCGGCCCGGCCCAGCGCATCCGCGTGAGCATGGTGATGTTTAAGGTTTAGGGTTCGGGGTTTATGGTTTATGGTTTGGGGTGTGGGTTGAGGGCTAGTTTAGGGTTGAGGGCTTAGGGGTTTAGGGTTTTTGGGTTTAGGGTTCAAGAGGTTGAAGGTTGAGACGAGGATTGATTTCGTAAAGTTGAATGGGGGGGCGGGGGGGAGGGGGGGAAAAGGGGGGGGGTTGGGGGGGGGAGGAGGGGGGGGTTGGGGGGGGGAGGGGGGGGGGGGGGTTGGGGGGGTGGGGGTACGAGCAGAAATGAGGAGGGGGGGGGGGGGCCTGCTAGGCGGGGCTTCAACTGTGCCGGTCCTGGCGAACTGTCCGCTTTCAGATTGTGGTCGCCCACGAAGGGGTACCCTTTCCACTTGCGGCCGCTTTGGGGGTGGGTTTGTGGGGCAAAGCTGTCAGTGAATCTTCACTTTGTGACTCGAGACAATGAAATTGGGGCTCTGAAAAACAGAATGGTTTTGCTTTCTAGGGTGTCGACTACAGAGAAATATTAGGTTTATTGGAGCGTCTATAAGTCGACGTAATTTGGTGTTAGACTTTCCCGCAGCATTGTTTTGCTTAGTGGCTTAATGGGGCGTTCTATTATATAAAGTGCGACTTGAACAAGGTGCGAAGTTTCGCGTTGAAGCCTGAGATTCTTTGACCAAATTTTCGCTGACACGTTCAATCTTCAGTTCCAGTCAGGTTTTGAAAGTCGAACCCTCAACACTTTCTTAACACAACCACGGCTGAAAGTTGGAGATAAACCAACAGATTTTCTTCTTTCTGGTGTCGCAGGATGTAGGGTTAGGGTTGATTCCCACACCCCTCATCCCATTCCCCAAAACCGAAACACAAAAACCCGCCACCTTGCCACAGAGGGCGGCAGGGCACAGATGATGCATAATTATGCATATGCATATGCATATATATATATATATATATATATATATACGTACACATATATATAATTATATAGAGAGAGAGGGGTGTGTGTGTGTACCACATATGTTGGGAGGTTGCGAGGGTTCTTTCAAGCCAAGTGCCAAGTTTTGGAAAGAGAGAAACATGCCGTCTGAACGCCATTTCCTGCTGCAAAGCTACGTTTAGGATTCATACCGGGTTAGGGTTCCCCTTACTGAGTAGCCCACAACCTGGTCCCCCCCAGCCTCCTAACCTCCAAACCGAACCCGGAACTTCCAGGGTTCAGGGTTTAGGGTTTAGGGTTTAGGGTTTAGGGTTTAGGGTTTAGGGTTTAGGGCGTAGAAGCCGCTAACCCTCTCAACCTTTGGTCCAAAACCGTCAAAGCCCTCTGCATAGAAGCCCTACGCGTAACAACTGCAAACCCCATCGCCCAAGCCCCAAACTTTGAGAATCCGAAACCTCATTCTTTCAGCCTGTGCAGCCCAAACCCTAAACTAGCCCTAAACCCTAAACCCTAAACCCTGAACCCTAATTCCCGGAGGAGCCAGCTGGACTCGAGCCCTAGGGCTGCTCAAGAGCAGCACTGGCATTGCGGCCGTTCACGGCGCGTCCCTGACCGCTGGGATGTCGGGGGTTTGGAGTTTAGGGGTTAGGGTTGAGGGTGGGGGGGGGGTTAGAGGGGTTTTGGGGGGGTTTGAGGGGTTTTGGGAGGGTTGGAGGGTTTTGGGGGGGGGGTTTTGGGGTGTTTAGGGGGGTTTAGGCGGGTAGGGAGGGGGGTTTAGGGTTGGAGGGTTGGAGGATGGGAGGGTTGAGAGTTTAGTTGTTGAGGTTTCCACGTTTAGCGGCCGAGGCGCTGAAGTTTGACCATCACTCCCAACGACTTAAACTCTTCCTTGCCTTGGACCTACAATTCATGCGTCATTCTTCCTTATAATTGTATTGCAAATGCTCACTTAATGCTTCCTTTCACTCTCTGAGACCCTAACTCTCAGATCTTGGTCCTTTCACTCACCCACGAACCAGACGCAGAAACCGTACCATTCATCTCTCTCACTCTTGTTCCACAGCCTTGTTCACCCATCACACCTTGAGACCCTAACTTCCAGCACCAGGAAACGCTCTCACCTTTGTAACCGCCCCTAGAAACCGTACCAACTTTCTATCTTCTGTCTCACCGCTCAGTACTTTGGGGCCTTGTTCACCCATCACACCTTGAGACCCAACCTCTGTTTCCAAGCCACTAAGAACCCACCCTCGGGACCCCAACATCAGGTTAGCCCTGAAATCCCTAAAAACGACCTGAGCCTTAGCTCTGAAGGCGTCCGGGCTTGAACCTTGCACAAAAACTAACAAGGCGTCAGTTAGGAGGAGAATTGAGGGTACTTGGGGCGGAAGACTCACTCTGTGCACATGGGTAGCTCTCTAAATTCGGGCACCTCCTGGCATCCTGAAAATGCTATAGGATGGTAAGCGTGGCGTGCCCTACAGGGCCGCAATTCTTACACACTTACACAACAACAGGATAGTAGGCCCGCATGGGCCGCCTCGAGCCTGATTTGCGCACGGCTAACCACAGGTCGTAAACCAAACCATGTGTGCCACAGATGGGTAGCTGCCTCGGCTTGCAAAGATTATCCTCGTAAGGGCTTGGCCCCCACCTGTGCTGACGATGCCGAACAGCAACTACATTTAGGATATATGCGATAGAAGTTCGCGCCTGGACAACCCTGACTGACTGACAGTTTGTGGCATTCTGTGTGACAGTAGCTATCAAGCTCAGCTCGATGTCATGTAGCTGCACGCCTTTGCGCTTGACAATTACATGTCTACGCGTCCTGCGCTGTGCGTCGTGTATACGCGTTTGTCAGCATCGGCATTTGTTGGAGTGTGCGTTGCAAGTAGTGACTTGCGTGGTGAGAGATCGTGAAGTTGCTTCCACACCGCACATTTATCTCAATGTGCCAACGGCCAGGAGCGGCCCGGTGGCAAAGAACAGCGCCATCAAAGCCAGCGAGAATCCCAAGGAACGAGCTTGTTCCCAATCGTGATTTTTGCACAGACTTCTCCGGCGGGATATAGCCTGTCCACTTTTACAAGTGTTGGCATCAACCTTGCATGCCAACATAAGTGCGACGCCGTGTGCTCATCTGCAGGCCTGGCCCTTTTCTTTGACCTTGCTTCGGTCGTTGAGGTGTGATGCGCCTGGGTCAGAATAGAAATTTATTCGGCGGTTGACAGTTTGGTTGTCAATGGGCTGTAACATGTCAGAGTTTGGCAATAGGTCCCTGAAGTGTTAAAACATGTGAGGTCCAGGAACAACGATCTGCAATTGGTCGCGCAGGTTGCTTTGCGATCAGATCCGATGCACCGAAAAGGTTGTGATTTGCGGTGTTTGCAGCATTTCGGGCAAACGAAAACGTCGAGTGGACACGTGCTAGGACGGTGCCACTTGAAGTACACCTCACCTTTTTTTCCTGTTTTCGCGTCTCGCGGAGGAACAGCTTGCGGATGTCGTGTCCTACAATTCTGCGATTGATGGCTGTGCTGCCGGCAATTGCTGGCAGGTTGCCTGCAACCTTTACGAGGCGTTGATTGGGCGTTGAATCGGCAGCGTCAGGTCTTGATGATCCAATACGGACGCCAGATGTTTATGCACCAATTTGGCAAGGTTGGGTTTTACTGTGTGGCGAAGTTGTAAGAAGAAACAAAGTATCGTGGATTGCGCCAGCACACTCTTTGATCGGCTGGTTGAAATCAGGGTTCAATTCAATTGGCTTTTACACGCACAAGGCGTTCAGAATTATAAAAAGCCCGGGCACTACATCTGCGAACAGGAGATTCGCCTGCTGAGCCCAAGTTGTGCTCCGACCTTGGTGAGCGGGGCTCTCAGAAAACCACCGGCTGCCTATTACAAGTGCATGGCCGGGGGCCCACCTGTTGCCGGGATTCAAGAAGACCGGGTCCGTGCTATGGTCGTTCTCGGTGATGCTTAGGGATGGCTGCTAGCACTTGATAGATAGAGTATACGAAACCTGGCCGTGTTATACAACCCTGAACACCCTGAAGCAACCCTAAAGCATCCCTATAGGCGTGCACGCGGCGGCCGCAGCGGCCGCGGCGGCTGGGCGCTGGCGCAGCGCAGCAGCGGCGCTTGCGCCGCTGCTTTCCAGCAAGGTCCGATGCCTGGAGACATCGGGGCTTAAGATTATCGATTTAAGGCCGCAGGTTACGTTAAGTGTAAATTGCCAGGAGGTCATTCATAAGGATAGTAGAAAAATGTAGTTTCAGCGCTGAAGGTGCCCAGGGTCTGCTACCAGAGGAGGCATCTTTTGAACTCACGGGGGCTGTCGCTGTTTGTTCTGCTGCCGGCCTTCATTCCTACATGGTATTTTTAACAGGCACTTCCAAATACAGACAGCATCCTGCTGATGGATTTTGGAAATTGAAGAGCGCGTTTCCAGACCCAATGAGGCGGCATCGCTACGTGCTGACGCCGCGAGCCCAGAATTTGGGCTTGGGGTCCTTGCAAGGTACACAGCTACCCTCGTCCAAGGGAGCAGTGTGGGCGTTAAATGCTACATTCTCTGCATCGTTGCGTCCGGTACATTGCATAGGAGGCATGAGCAGGCACAAGTTGAAGCGAGAATCACAGAGGATGAACACTTTGCCAAGAAGTCCAAGCCTCTAATTTCACTGGTGCCTCCAAATCGCGACACTATGCCAGTAGAGTCAGTAGACCGGGTAGTAGATGATGATCATGACCGTGCACGAGCTAAAGTGCAACAAGCCCCAAGGCCCCAACACTGCCGTGCTCGTCAGCCCAAGCTGTGGCACCAAGCAGGGTCTTGGAAGCCCATCGGAACACGACCAAGGCAGTGACCTACAATGCAGCGATGAACGCTTGCAACTGGGAGCTAAGGTGGCTTCAGTGAAGTGACCGAAGCTACACCCCCATGCCCTAACGCCACGATTCCCACAACAAGGACATGCAAGGACAGTACAACGACAATAGCCATTCTCACATACATGCGCACTCACAATCAACCTCAACAGTCTCCAAACAACTCCAATCCCTGAGCCTTCAAAGTGCATCTAAGGCCTGCACTCCACGAAAGAGCGGCGGGGTGTCCCAACCGAGGAGGACGAGACGGCGGCCTCAAAAGAGGCTCATCTCTATGCTCTTGGGCTTGGGATCGATGCGAACTAGGTTCCTGGCATATTTGGGCGTGGGGCGGAGGGGGGAGGGGGGAGGGGGGAGGGGCGCCTTTGCGTGCACCGTGCAGATCTCCTGGCGGCGCTCCCTGAACTTGCGCATGGAGCTGGGTCAGGCTCACCCCAGGGCCTTGAAAGCAGGGGCTTGCAGGGCTTGAAGGGCTTTTGAGTGGGTCAGAAAGGGGCATGTGCGTTGCTTGTGCTACGGACGAGCATCTCTGTGGTTTTGGGGTGGTTTGAAGGGCTGCTGCAGGCTGAGTGCACTGTGCTTGACATCTTCTGACCGAAGGGTGTCGAAAAGGCTTGGGCAGGCAGATTAAATCAAGGGGGCCCTGATGGAAACACGGGCACAGCGAGAAACCTCAGCAGCTCAGCCCAGCTATGCAGCATTTCGACAGTCAGTGTTCCTTTCTCCTGCGCAGCGCATTTGATCCCGGCACTTTCACCCAGCAAGCTTACGCAAATCCTGACCCTAAACCCCCCAAATCCCTCAGCCCGACACCTCAGAGAAGCTCCAAACAGCGCCAAAAACATCCAGTACTCGCCGTAGGCCTCTGTGGCGCCTGACCTGGTCTCAGTGAACCTGGCTCTTGCCTGCTATGCTGCCGGCCGAGGGCCGCGCGGCGAAGTGAGTTAGGTGATCGCGGATTCAGCGGCCACAGAGTGGTGGATAGCGTGCCCTGCGTTTTTCCTTGGTCTACAAGGTGTCGTTTTTTGTTTAAGGTCTCTTGTAGAGATGATTGGTGGCTGTACTTCTTGCGAGCATGACTAGTTACTTGACAGGAAGGCATGGTTCGCTGTGAAACTTTTAGTCACAGGGATATATCTGTTTGAAAGCGCCTAAGTAGGTGTGCAACGAGAATGTTGGGGAAATGTCGGGAAAGTAATGGGGCAGCGTTTTGTTTAGACAACCGTCATTTTCCTTGCAGTAGCATGCCAGCTGCCTAGCCCAACTGCCCCTTCATCTTCATAAGGCCTCTCGACATTGTAGTCTGAATCCTGGGCCCCTTGAGTGCTCGAAGTGTCAATTTGCTTGAACCCCAATGTCTCAGACGATGCCACCCTGCACTTTGAGTCACCAGATGGCTGCTTAGTAACATCCTCAAAACCAAAGTTGAAAACCCTCAGCCCTGAGCTCTCATGCGTGGAGACTCCAAGGCTCAAAGCCCCAAACACCCCAAACCCGCGATTTCGACCCAACGCCCCTAAACCCGAAACCTCGAGACTCACAAAGCACCCTCCGCACCAAACCCGCAAGATCCTGAACCCAAGATCCTGATCCCAAAGCCCTCAGGCCCTACACCAGCTCAATAAACTAAACCCCAAACTCGAAACCCTAACCCTAAACCCTAAACCCTAAACCCCAAACCCCAAACCCTCGCTTCCGCGGTCTTTCCGAAGGTGGCGGGAGGCCCTCAGCTACGGGGAGGGCACTGGCATCCTTGGCCCAGTGCCTCGATGTAGGAGGTTTTCAGGGGTTTAGGGTTTAGGGTTTAGAGAAATTGCATAGGGTTTGTGTCCGGGGTTTTGCGGGGGTTGGGGGAAGGGGGGGGGAGGTTCCCGGGGTTTGTTTTTGCTCTTTGCTGCCTTCTCGGCCCTTTTGGGCCGTTTCGCTTGACCTGTTCAGCCTTTCGGGCCTCTTCGCATGTAGCCTTTTTGGTTCTTTCAGGGATTTTTGTTGCCCATCGAAGTTACGGTTTCTGAGTGAACCATCACATGCAATTTCTATTCATCCTGGCCTGAGGGCTCAAACCTAAAGAAAGGGTTCAGGGTGTAGCCTAGGGATGGCCCAATACCTCACGTAACTACTGCAGAAGCTTAGTTTTTTAAAGCACTTCAAGGAATCGGCATGCAGAGCCCTCATCAATCAACGCAGCACCAGCCCTATCTCCTCTCAGTACCAAGCTCATCCAAAAATCTCGGGGATGTGTCCCCTAAACCCAGAACCCTAAGCCCTAAACCCAAGAACCTTGAACCCTAAACCCTAAACCTCAACGCTAAACCGTACTCCTCTTGGCGTGGGACTCCCCTAACCCCAAATACCCAAATTGACTCCAAGGACACCGGCCAAGGACAGCGCCCAGATGAGGCTGGTAAGTGCTGTGGCCAAAGGTTGCTGGAACTTTCGGCTACTCAGGCGTTTAGGGTTGGGGGCTTCTGCGTTGAGGGCTTTAGGGTCTAATCTCGGGGACTACAGTACGTTACTCTTCCATTAGTTTTGCCTTTTGGGGCGGGGGGCGGAGTTACTACTCAGAACATTAGCCTTTCCTCTTTCGCTCCAGAAACAAAGAGCCAGACCCACCAGCATCCGATTGTCCAGGTCACCTTCGGTGCACTGCTGGGCGCCCGCTTCCCGCGGGACCTGGCCATGAACTTGCTGCAGGCGATGAGAGAGGAGGCATGTGGCCCTGGAGTTCTGCACAAAATTCAAATAATATAGGGGCCTTACCTTAATAATTGGAATAGTTTTTTTTTTTTGAGGGGGGGGGTTGGTATTATTGGATCTTTATAAAGGGACCACAAGGAAATACCATTAGTAACTATTCCGACCCCTTTATTAGGCCCCTGGGCACGACACCCGGCACTTCAATGCGTCAACGTTCTTTGCGGGTGCTTCGTGTCTGCAACCGCTGCAACCACCAAATCTCGTGAGATCAGGCTGCGCGTGGAACGAGCTACTGAACAAGCCGGGCTATTGCACAAGCCGGGCGTGTAATATCTTCTCCCGCAATTCGCAAGCTTGCAATGTGACCTCGCAGAGCTGACATGGGGCCAGCTATGTCCAATGCCTAAACCCACAACCTCCTCACACCTTTTGGCCCTAGCGCCTCTCAACCGTCTCAACTTGGGATGTTCCCCCTTGTCCTAACAGTCCTTACTAGGGATTATAATGGGGGGGGGGGGGGGGGGGTACTGTCATCCCTCTTAAGGATCCGTTAGTCTTCTATCATCCCTCTTAAGGATCCGTTAGTATACGATCATCCCTCTTAAGGATCCGTGAGTATACGATCATCCCTATGAAGGGCTGTTAGTCTAAACCCTAAACCCCAAAACCCTAAACCCTAAACCCCAAAACCCTAAACCCTATGTCAACCATTATAAACCCTAAGCCCTAAGCCCTAAGGGGGACACCTCCCACGTCTCAACCCGGAGGACCTGGAGCCCAATGCCGTCACCCACAGTGCCGTGATCAGTTCCTGGACAAGCTTTGACGTTCCGCCTTTGCGGTTCCAAGAGTTTAGGGTTTAGGGTTTAGGGTTTAGGGTTTAGGGTTTAGGGGTTGTTTATGGGGATGTAGGGTTCGCAGTGCCCAGTCTCATGTCGCATCTCGGAGTCTGGGAGGGAGGGTTAGAGTATGGTCCTGTCCCTTTTCGACAGGGGCGGCACCCTAAACCCTGAATCCTCAGTCTTATGCCGCATAAGACTGGGGGCTCTGCCAAGGTGCCTGCGAACGGGATGGGCCGCTTTGCTCGAGATTGGCCACGAGACCTCATGCAGGTCCTTCCTGCAATCACCCTGATCCTACCTGCACCCTTACTTAGTGGCGATCGCTTCTCTCCTTTTTTAGGACCCTTCTAAGTCTTCAGGGTGCAGATCCCACAGCTGAAGTTTCATGGTTTTGGCAGCTCACAACAGTGTTGCCGCACCAGGTCTTATCACCGCAAAATAAGACGGCTGCTGAAACTGAAACCTCCAGAGAGACAAAAGCCATGTCGCGTGACTCGGAAAGTCTGAACTGCGACTTGGAGATGGCTCGGACATCCTATCAACACCAAACAAATCTGAAGCACCGAACGTGCAGAAACCGGTGCTGAAGAATACACCCCCCCCCCCCCTTGGCAAACAAAAAAAGATCAGAGCGAACCGCATGGCAAATAAAGCAATCAAAGGACACTCGTAGAAGACCCACACCGACCCGCCTTGCCCCTCACACAAAACGCTCCAGCCCTCCAAACCCCAGCAAAAGCCACTTACTACAGCCCCATCCGCCCCCGATGAAGCTCAAAAGACCTGACCTTGGAGGTTCATGGTACTTATAACCCTACTAGTTATCACTCGTACATATAATTCTTATCAGCCCCCGAAGTCCCCTAAGGTAGGTACTTATCAACTGTGGTTCTAAGTACCCAGAGAGCCCAATACTCCTTAATTAAGGAATATACCTTAAATTATAAAGGGATCCTTAATATGATTTAAGGAATATTCCTTAACTAAGGGGTTTTGGGCTCTTTGGGTACCCAGGAACCTCCAAGAAGACCTGAGGAATCCGCTGGGAGCCCCCAGCTCTCTCTGGGGTCTGGGCGGCACCGATGCCTTCCGCAGGCCAAGAAAGGGCCTTGGGAAGGGATCCGGGTGGGGTTTTGGGTTTTGGGGTTTTGGGGTTTGGGGTTTGGGGTTTGGGGTTTGGGGTTTAGGGTTTGGGGTTTAGGGTTTAGGGTTTCGGGTTTCGGGTTTAGGGTTTAGGGTTCAGGGTTTAGGGTTTAGGGTTGCTTTGGGGACGCAACTAGGGGTTTCGCGGCTGTTTGGGTGGCTGTGGGGCTGCACCCGTAGGTTAGCGTCATCAAGGTCGGGTTCCTTCGATGCTTTCATCGGCGGCCCCGCGCTGAATCCTGAAACCTACATGGAGATTCTAGACTCCTACAGAGCCCTTCGCAATCCCGGTTTAGGGTTTAGGGTTTAGGGTTTAGGGTTTAGGGTCTAGCAGTAGCAGATTCGGGGTACGAGGAAGTCGAAGCCGCGAGAACGAGCATGGCATGCCCAGGCGTTCAGGGGCAGAGTAGGTCAGAAGCAGTTGGGCCAACTTGAATGAAGAGGCACTTCATTCTTCATGCTTATACCGTACTCATCCACCGGCTGAAGTGGCCGACATTCTAGGCTTGCCTGTACAGAGAGTGGGCTATTAGGCGGACTTGTTGTCGGCGTGGCAGCTTAATCGCTTAATACCGGATGGTAACGGCATTCACTGCAAGTGCTGGTAAACTGCAGATTGCTCGCCTGATTAAATTGTCAATGAAGCTCCAAAGCCTCTCATGCAAGGCTTTCTGGCGCTGCCCCGACTGCTCGCGCAGACCTTTGAAGACGAAAGCCTGACAAGAAAAACTGCGGGAGGAAAGGCTAGTTTAGCACTCTTTCTGGGTACTGAGTATGGGTTCTCCACGAAAACCTCCCCTGAAACCCAAACAAAGGTGAAAGACTCGTTTTGTTTTTTCCTTGGTTTTCCCAGTTTTCCCGCCAACAACTCTTAAAAGACTCAGCCAAGGTAGGCTGCGCCCAGAGGACCCCAACTAGTCAAGACAAGCATCATCTCATGATTCCTTCTTAGTCAGATTCAAAGGTCAACATACAGGGTTGCCTTGTTGAGTGCTCATTCTGCTAAGGATGTTGAGAGCTGGTGGAACTTGACCCGAGGCGCTATAATCACCAAAGGTGAGGCGAGGATATCTCCGAAAATAGGGGTACCCTTTTTGGGGGTCCATTTGAAGGGGATTCTATTCTATTTGGGGTATAAAAGGGGTACCCCTATTTTGGGAGATACGCAAGTAGGCTGACTAACTGTTACGGCGGCTTTTCGTCACAAAGTCACAAGCCCCCCTCGCGGCAAACAAGCATTCGGATCGATGCCACTCTTTGGACCTCACGCCAAGGGCGTGGCACATGGCCCTGATACTCCTGTCGGAGTGCCCCTTCCGGCCGTAATCTCAGGGATTCAGTTGGCTGGAGATTGCATGCTGGCGCTGCAGACACTGCAGGTTCTACGTGCAAACCGAAGAGGTGTAGCAACAGTTCAGAAGCGTGTTGTTAGGCACCGCGAAGCTTGCATCCACACAGCGTGCCACTGGCATTAGCAATGTGGGTTTGCGCCAAAGCTTCGGGCACGAATGGAACTATGCCTGGAGACTTCCCTATTTCACTGTGCTTGGCTTTAGGACCGTCAACCTGAAAGACCCTACACAAATCCAGGCCCGATGTGGTGACCTACAATGCCGCCATGGATGCTTGTAGCAAGGCAGCAGCACGCCAATTTCTTCCATGAGCCTGGCTCGCAACAGCCCTAATGCAGAGAAGCCATGAGCCTGCTGAAACCGTGGTCAGGCAACGACCGTTGCTTAAGAGAAGTCTTTTGCATGAAAGCATGGTCTCCCTGTGCCAGGGCAAGCAGTGGCAGCGCTGCCTGAATCTGCTCACAGCGTGTGACTCAGCAAAGCGCCAGCCGCCAGCACACATTAGATCACGTCTTTGATCGTGTTTGTATGTTTGCGGCTGCAGCCTGATGAGGGGCAAGGCTTAGTACCTACAACTGCGCAAGACGAGCATGACTAGGCGACGAAGCGTGCTCGGGCTACCCCGAAACGAGGGGGTTGGGATCTAAGGCGACCCCGAACCCAACGTAGGGTTTAGGATCTAAGAGGACAGCTGTCCTTGTTTGCCGCCTAGGGTTTGCAGTTTAGGGTCTGAGGCGTGCATTGGAGGCGTGCAAGTGAGAGGCTTCGAGAGTCTTAAATTAACGGCTCTAACCCTACCCTCCACATCGATCTACGAAGCAAATCCTAAACTGCAAGCCCCAAGCATCTCCAAAGCAAGGCTGCGCAGCAGACTCATCACAGATTCCCGTGCCCAACCTACGCCCCTAGCAGTTCGGGACTTGGTGTGAAGTGCTAAAGCCCGAAACATAACCCTTGACCTTTAGCGGCTTCGAACTCTCAGCCCTAAACCCCCTTACTTCAGGAGATGTTTCACAGCGTGCTGTTTCCCACCGCCATCTCGTACAACACTGTCGCGACCTCAGCGGCAACCCTGGGCCCCGAAGCCACGACAACAGCGCCTTAAAGTCGTCTAGGCCTCTAGGTTTATGGAGTTCATGGTCAGGCTTCAGGGTTTAGAGTTCAAGAACCCAAGGGCCGAATCTGCAAAACGCGTGACCCTTGACCGGCATGATCCCGCTTGGGGAAGAGAACCTTCACTCGATTGTATCGAGATATGTAGAGTCTCAGGCCGCAATAGCTAGTCGGGAGAGCTTAAGCAACCAAATCTATACATCTGTATATATGTTTACATGAACCCGCGAGTGGAGCGAGCCAGCCACATAAAGAGCCCACGACACATGAGCCCAGTCTGCAAGTTGCAAGGCCATAACAGCTTGCGAGATGGGGAGCGCGACTCAGCTGAAGAGATGGGGCCATGGCCCACGCATGTGCGGCACAGGAGCTTGGGCCATCATGTCCATGTGAGGCCAAAAAAACCCTGAGCACATGCAGAAGTGTGGGCTTGACTTACTTCTATAGCGAACGCTACTGAAGGGCTTTAGTTGTAGTTTGTACTCTGTTATCGGACCTGCTGCGTGGTCCGTAGACACAGAAGCGCGCGTTACCTTGGCCAGCAGTGAACATGATGCTGGCTGCCGCATCCTGCCCCTGGCCACCATCTCGGGTCGGGCAGCGCGCATGCTCACAGTGTGAGTTAATGGTGAAGGCTGCCCATGCAGACCCAGGCATGGTGTAGCAGCTGATGTCCTTCGCCCGGGCTCAACTATAAGTAGCTGAGGCCGTGGCCCTTAGTGCTGCAGCTGCTTGGTGAGCTTCGACAGCAAGGCCTTCCGCAAACTGTTGCTCTTTTGCTGTGAACAATCACGGAAGCCTGCGGGGAGTTAGGGTCGAGGTCACTCCCTTTGCGAAGGTCTACGCCCAAGAACAGATACCTACAACGCAGCCATGGCTGTGTGTGCCAAGGCCAGCTTGCTTAAGTATCCCTGGGTTGCAAGCTCCAACTGTTGGGCAAAAGCAGTAACAAAGAATCACAAGCATTTGCCAAGGCTTGGGATTTTTGAGGGTGATGCTCGCAAGTATTGCGGTCACTACATCGGAGTCGTTTCTTCATCGCCACGGGCTTCGTACTACTAGTTCGCGAATGGGGACCTTCCTACGGTTTATAAGGTTTTGGACTTATACTATCTCTCCAAGTTCGCATTGCAGTATAACTGGGGGATGAGCCAATGGTTTGGGCAGCCTGGCCGCAGAACCCCTTCTTCCCTGTCAGGCTCTTCTGTCAAAGCTTGAGGGTCAACTTGTTTGCAGGAAGAACTTATGGGGTTCGTGTCCCCTCCCTCTCCTGAAGCATCAGACACTTCGAAGCACTTGCCCAACCCCTGAACCCGCTCGCACTCAAACTCTGATCCTGACCTCCACAAAGCCGGACTCACCCTAAACCCTAGCACTAAGCCCTGTAGATCCTGAACCCTATCGCCCTAAACCCGAACTCCAAACCCTACAGATCCTAAGCCCTAGCACTATAGACTATAGTTCATAAACCCTAACACCCTAACTCCCCAACACCCCAACACCCCAACACCCCAACACCCCAACACCCTAACACCCTAAACCCTAATGCCCTTACACCCTGAGTTCGGACACGAGGCCTATCAGACCGAGATGGCGCTTGAGCTGCTGCGGGGGCCCAAGGTCCGAAAAAACCGGCAGCCCCTCATCCTGCAAGAACCCCCAAGAAAACCTCTCAACATCTCTCAACCCTTATTATATAATACAACCTTTTATATGAACCCTTTAATATGAACCCTTTATATAAGCCCTACACACACACTATATCAACCCTACATATCCCCGATAAACCCTGAGTATAGGGTTCAGGGTTTAGGGTTTACAGGATTTAGGGTTTTGTTTGTCCTGGTTTCCGAATACGCAAGGTGCACCCTCAGCCCTAGAACCAGAACAGTGGGCTTGCTCAGAACATCAGGCCGCAGATTACCTGGGTTTGTTTAAGTTTCGGGTTTAGGGTGTAGATGTAAATGCTTCGGGTCGTGTAGTATAGCCCTGGCTCGTCGAATTGTGTAAGGAGCTGTCCCAACTCTTTGAAACCGTGGATTTTGTCCCATAAACGATGAGTAAACGCGACTTGTTCTCATGACGATGCTTGCAGTGTACGTACGCTTGATGCGCTATAACGAAACAATCATGTTAGGTCCCAGAAAGTGTCAAGTTGAACCAGTGGCCGCATAGCCTTTCAACAACCTACCTGCAGCGGTCTTAGCAGACAAGCCGCGGTGGCTGGTGGCCTTGACCGAACAGCTTCTGCAAATCATTTTCCCACCATGCCTCGTAAAATGATAAGTCAGAATCATCACAAAGATAGTAAGAAGGGATGAAGAGTACGTGAATTTCCCCAACCTTACTTTCGTATTTGTTGTACGCAGAAGGGGTCACCTAGTCACGCCACTTCCTGTGGCACATCCGTCATGTCGCTTCTTTGGCGAGCACGTCTGCGCCCGATCTTGCCAAAGCGCCTGCAGCTGGCAAGCTTTTCACCTTTTGTGCGGTCAGAGTATCGTTTCAGTGCTTTCCCAAAGCAGCCCGGAAAGCGTGGAACCTTAGCATTTATCGTTGGCGTGAACACGGCAGTGTGGGCTTCTTGGCAAATTTCCTTTCACAAAGCTTTGGCTGGAGATGAGTCCATGTATGACTTTATGCACCGACACTTCATGGGTTCCAACAAAAACACCTCCGAGATCAGCAATTTGCACAAGATCCCGCTGGTCTCATTCAGCCATCAGGACTTCGGACACCTCTCGGCAAACATGTTCGCACTCCTCATGCTCGCGCCGAAGCTGCACGACTTTCTCGGCAGAGCTCGATTCATGGCCCTCTACTTCGCTGGCTCGTTAGGAGGCACCTTAGCCACCCAGGCCGCACACCTGGATCCCTACTGGGAGGAGAAGGCTGTCGCCGAGTCTCCTGAAAGGTATCGCAACATTCTGTCTGGGCGCGAGGCGGGAGATGCCGCTGGACTTGGTGCTTCAGATTCTATCGCCGCACTTTTTGCGTGCTTTTACTTCACCTTCCCTCGGCAGCCAGTGCCCTTTCTTTTCAGCAAGTTCAACATAGCCTGGTCTCTCCTGCCGAAGCGCTTCAGGGAGCAAATGCCCACTGTCGGAAGGTTTCTGAGGCGAACCAAGGCAGCTGCAATCTGGGTCTTGCCTGCCTTTTTCTTCGTTGACTTTGTTGAGATCTGGAGGCGGCTTGTTGGTCAGCAGGAGGACCGAGTAGGCCTGTTGGTGGACAGTGGCTTGCTTGCGCTTGAGTTTTCCATGCTGCCACACAGTGTCAGCACAATACTTGGAGGTTCATGGCACTTACTAACCAATTATAACTGTACTAATAACTGTACTTATAACCATATTTGGGCACTTAAGGAGCTTATAAGTAGGTGAAAAGTGCAGTTATACTGGGTTAATCAGTACCACGAAGCTCCAAGAAGAGCGGGTTCCAACAAAAAAGGGCACGAGGGGCGTCAAATCGGTGTGCACGCAGCGCCCCAGGCGGCACAATGGTTTTCTTGGGCCTGCTCACTTTTGGGCGCAAATTGTGCCCTCGTATTGGCGCGGAGTTCTCGGACTCCCGAAAGCCCGCAAATGTTTTTCATCGGCAGGCGCAGCACTTTCGGCTCCTCAGAGCATGGACCTTCGTGCGTCGCGGCAAGCTACTGGCGGAAGTCCTCTGAGGGCAAAAGCTAATGAGGATTCGAGGATTCACAACTCGCACGTCCGCGATTTTGGACGTCTGGCCGTGTGGCCTCACGAAATGCGACACTGAGGACGTCCGGAGCTCACGTGGCTCCTTAATCCTTAAAGCCGGCTTTCGTACTACAAACCTAGTATACGCGGAGGACATCCGAAGCTCCAGTGGCGAGAACGCCGACTTTGAATGCTCATGGGGAGCTCTTGGAGTTCTCTTCCGGGGAATGTTCTTGGGGCGCATTTCTTGTTAGGGAGGTTCTTGGACTCGACTTGGAATGCTCTTGTAGGGGGCCTCGAGAGCTTTATGGGGTCATCGTGGAGTAATTAGTCTTGGAGGGTCTTACACTGTTTGGGGGCTACGCGGACAGAACTTGTCTCAGTCGAAGCTTGATAACATGCAGTCTACGTGACGTTCACACTCGCGCAATCTCACCAGAGGTAATGTCGGACATGCCGCTCACGTAGGGGGCTTCCTCTCCGGCACAGCCTTCTACGTGTTTGTGGCGCATCCGCTGAAGGGGCAGCTCTTTCACTTCACCAGACACGAGATGTTTCGTCGCGCTTACATCATGTCCTTGTCGTTGTCCTTCTGGTATGCCGTGACGACCCTTCCCCTCCAGTTTCAGGAGAAACCTGGAGCTCGGAAAGTTACATTTTGGCTCGCGACTGAGGGCCCCAACGAGAACGGATCAATGCTGGTCTCAAACAACTCCCCCACCAAGTTGGATCACACTTTGGCTCAGCTCTGGAAGACCGATCCCAGGCTCTCGCAAATGGTCGAGGCAGCAAACCACTGTGTCTTGCAGGAGAGCTGCGGGTCCAGCCCTCACGTTGGAGAGAGTGGCGACTGCGACGGTCATTTCCACCGACTCCACCAGTACCTCTCTAGAAATAGCACTGCGCCCAAGCAGGCAGCCGAGCTGCTCTCCCCAGTATTCGTGGACAGCATCCGGAGTTGCCGTGAGGTTCTACGTCAGCTTCCAGCTGCCTTGCATGTGCATGAGGAGTACTACACCGTCCACCCTCAGATCAACGATGTCACAATTCCAGCATCCTTGCGTTCGTTTGGCCACATGGTTAGGCGTTTCTTTCGCATTCCAGGAGATCCTTTGGAGGCTCTTGGCCTGCTCATCGAAGAGGGCACACATAACGTCTACCTTGCAGGTGTCATAAAGGACAGTCCAGCTGACAAAGCAAATGCGGCAGCTCATCAAGGCAAGCTCATCACACACGTCTGCAACAAACCAGTGAAGACACGGAGTGATGTCATTGAGGCGATGCGCCAGCAATTGGAGATCCACGTCTGGTTGGAATGTCCCAGCGACGGCAAGCAAGCCTCTTCAAGCAAGTACAAGTTGGAGAAGTCTGTATCCATCACTGCCGCGATGGCAAGCACACGAAGCCACAAGCTGGAGCGCAATTGACTGAGATACTGAGATGTGCTGTCACAAAGCCTCCGGATGTCCTTTAGTCAAGGCCTACTGCTCCGGGGCATTCTGTACTTCCCCCCCCCCCCCCCCACACCTCCTCGGCACAAAGCTCTCAAAATCAAAAGCCTGCTGGGACCCGAAGTTATCTACACATGTACAACCCAAACTCGGAAAACCCGACAGCGAGGGAGGTCGACGCCTAAGACCTCGAATGCTCAACAATCTATGTAGGCAATGTAGGTATATTCCCAGTAGCAATGCGCAATCCATATATAACATATTCCTACATACCCGACATTTGTCATTGTGGCCCCGCGAGCAGCAAACTTATCTGGGATCCTGAAAGCAAGGCCCTGCAAAGACTTCTCTGACGCGGAACATGAGGACCCGAAGCTAGATAGGCCCGAAACCCGTCAGAAGCCGTAAACCCCAAAAGAGCCCTATGAAAGCCTGCAATCTATAGGAACCTCTATGAAGCCCCAGTCAACTCTGCAACTCTACCATGGGGGGGGGGGGGATTCTCGGAGGCTGGGCGAAGTCCAGGTAAAGAGACACCCGAAATTTTGAATGACCCCCTGTCACATCTCAAGGGTTTAGGGTTTAGGGGGCTTCGTGAACAGCACCTGAGCTTGAAACAGCCTGAGCCCCTCAGTGTCACAGACCTTCCAACCAGGCTCCACTTGCGCCAGAGCCGGCTAAGGCTCCCCCGGTTTGGGGGGGTTGAGCCAGTTTCGTGTTTACAGTACAGGTCATGGACCCCATCGAAAAGACGTTAATCCGGGCGAATGTGTCAGAGGTTCATTGTGGACCAGGCAATGTAGGACTCACAAGGCATGTGAGAGGGTATTCTGTCAATGCTACTTGCGTCTTCAGCCATTTTCCCCAACGCAAGACAGCACATGCTTCTTGGAATATGCATTCGAACTTTCAACCTTGATGCTGGGCCCTCATTCAGTGTTGCAGGCAACATCAGGTCACCTTCAACACGGCGATAGGCGCATGCGCTCGCACCTGAGAGCACGGCTGAAGTCTACCAGTAGCAGGAGCAGTGTGTTCAGCAACGATTTCAGAATAACAGTCAATCCGAGGCTGCTGGAAAGTCATCTGAACCTACGTATTTCCTGGACCCTCCTCCTGGGTTGGCAACGGGTGGACTGTTGAAGCTTCCTGTCGGTCCATGTCGGAGGTCCTTTCACAAGGTGTCCGTTGGGATGTTCCCCCTTGCACAAACAATCCTTACATAAGGATTATAGTACCCCTATTACAATCCCTATTAAGGACTGTTTATAAGGGGGGGACATCCCAAGGAGTCCTACTAGAAGAGGGCAAGCACCAACGAATCTTCTGAGGCAAAGGCGCAAGAGTGGCAACAGGCGCTGACCCTCCTTGGCGAGATGCACATGGGCCCAGAACTCTAGGTTGGGGTTTCGAGCGCACAGTTCCGGGTTTTTATGCGATTTGGTTCAGGTGAGGGAAGGAGTTCGCGGATTTCGGATTTTCAGAGAGGTTCCGGGGCGGCTTCTTTGGGCGTAGGATTTAGGATTGGAAATGAAGAAGGCTCAGGGGGGGTAGCCTTCAAACCCCGAACCCGAAGCTGCAGGGAGGCGCAGAGCCTTGTCTGATATTATGGCAGAGGACTAGAAGACTGCACAATATTACTTATGCGGACGGTTTAGAGTTTGTTTTGCTGGTATATGGGCAATTCATAGTCTGCTTTTGGGCGCCCTGAATTTTGGATACAAGGCTCCATCTTGCGAGAACTATCTAGAATCGTAGAGACTGCCCCCAAGCTTGGGGACCCCGTCTTCGAAAAGCAACCCTAAATCTGAGCCCGAAACCCTCCTCCCCACAAAATCAGCAAGCGCTTGAGGCCATTCGGGCTCCGGGCTCCTGGGGTATGAAGTACCTGGGGGGGGGGGGGTTGTTACCACCTAGGATCCCATCTATCCGCTATTTTCTGATTGTGGGGCGCGCCTTCTTTCTACAGAAGGTCCCCCCCCCCAACAAAAAAAAACACGCACACACAAGCAACAAACAAAAAAAAACAAAAAACAAGGCGGGGTTCTAGTGTGCCACAAAGCTCACCCGGGCTCTGCAAAGATTTTAAGGCCGGACGCGGCTCTGCAGCCGGACGTGGTCTCCTTCAGCTCGGCGATCGCGGTCCGCGGCTGTGGCGTTCAGGTTGTTGAGGGTTTCAGGGTTTGGGATGTTCACCCTGAAACTAAGAGTCCTCAGTAGGGATGATAGTACCCCCTATTTGCAATCCCTATTAAGGACTGTTAGTATATGGGCGAACATCCCAAGGTAGGTTTCTTTTGAGCTCCAATAGGGTTTAGAGTTTAGGGCTTAGGGCCATATAGGGTTGAGGGAGTCTCTTACAGGCATGGACCTCTATTTCCCACACGGCAGCTGCTGAACAGATGTGCATGCGCTTAAACTCCCCTGGCATGCAAGTTCGAGCGAATTGTGCCTGCAAGGCTCTTTCTCGACACTCCCTGCACACGCAGACGTGGCGCTTGTTGGAGGAGCCACTGATGGGGCAACTGGGTCCGGGAACCAGTTAGGGGAACCAGTCAGCTATTTTACGTGGCCGCTAAGTCCGTGCGAGACAAGAGCGAGCTGCAGAGGGAGCGTTAGTACAGAAGCTTGGCCACAACCCAGGGACTCCGAAACCCCTTGAGTAAGGAATACCCCTTCAATTGTAATAGGAACCCTAGGGTGAGTTAAGGTAAATTACTCAAATAAGGGGTTTTCGGAGTCTCTGGGAAGCCTATAGAGTAAAAGGCGGGTCGTTCGACGTCGGGTTTTGCGGCGCTTTGACTTCTACTTCGCACGTGTGGCATTTCTTGTTGCGACCAGTCTGGCTCATAAGGGTTCAGGCTTTCCATTTAACAGACGGAAAGCTCACCGCTAGCCGCTATCCTTTGCAGCATCGAAGCGTCAGTACGAAGCGGGCAAGGAAGAAGTGGAAAGCTAAAAGGGTGCAGTGGGCTTGGAGTATAAGGCATTGGGTTTGTTTCTTGAAATGAAGTGCAAGATGTGGGGGGGCAAGGCTTTGCGCGTGCACTGCAGTGGGGGAGGTTGGAGCTAAGGGTTTGGGGTTTGAGGAGGTTTGGGGTTATGGGGTTTTGGCGTAGGGGTTTTGAAGGGCCCTGACCCTTGCATTTTCCGAAGGACCTTGGCCGACGATCCTTGCGACCGAATTTGGTGGTCTTCAACACGGTGCGGGTTGCCGGCAAGACAGTTCAATACTGGGTTGGGAGACGTGAAGTGCGCAGGTAGGGGCTAACCCGAAGTTTCAACTTCGAGGGCTGCAATGTTCTGAATCGTGGCCACACGTTGGAGTGTTGTTGTGCCTGAACTGGCTTAGTACTGTTCAGGATGTTGAACCATTTGCTGGGCTGTGAATGCCTAGACCAAGAGCTTTGATGAAGACCTCCATGCCTTGCCTGTGTACAAACAGATCGCTGTAGAGACTCGGGTCAAGGTCCAGGATCTTGAGCATCGTACGGGGGTGGGGCGGGGGGGGGCCGGCAGAGGGCTGGGCGCGGGGGGCGGAAGGGTGCATTGTGTCATTGCAACAAGAGCACCCGAGTCCCCCCTTGTCGGGAACCCTGCTTTCAAGAGATTCGACCGAGAAGAAGACCCTAAACCTTTACACTGTGACTCTACACCCTACCCGAAACCCCTAAAGCCCCAAACCCTGAACCACCCGAAGAACTTCGAGATGACTTGTTTGTGTAAACCCCGAAACCCCCAACCCCTAACATCCCAAACAACATGTAGTTGTAGGTTCTAAGAGAATAGTCACATCCATATACTGAGATAAGGGATGGTCCTGAAATCCAAGCCCCTAACCCCTCAACTCCCAAACCTCTCAAAAGAACTTGACTCCCCTGGGCCCTAAAATCCCTCTACTAAGGTTCCCATTCGAATTAGAGCCCCTGTAAGTGATAGTAGTAGAGCAGGTAACCTTTAATGAGTTTTTTGGGAGGGGTTTATAATCCTATGTAATCCCAAAAAATAAAACTTTGTTTCCGTTAGGATACTGGACAACTGATATTCAGATTACCTTGAACCTTAAGCCGCCTTGATAGGCCCTCATACAGGCACCTCAATAATTTGAATAGGGTCTTGGGGGTGAGTTGTTTTGGGACCATAAGGGAATACAAAAACTAGTAGGTCATGGACTCCTGCCACCGCAGCACTTCTTGGCAGGCTGGGGATTCCAGCTCCCAAATTGGCCCAATGCACTTTAAGGTTTGGGGATCTTAGGGCTCAGGGTGCGGGGTTTAGGGTTTAAGGGTACGGTTTATTGGCTTTGCGGGTAGGCCGACGAACTGCTGTGGTTTTTGAGGAGAGTCTTGCCAGGTCTTTTCTTGGGCCTGAAAGATGATAGGAACAGTTTGTTGCTCTTTTAGATGTGGGGCTGGCCCATTTAGGGTCTATAGGGATTAGGGTGCAGGGTTCAGGGTTTCGACCCTGATGTTGGACTCAAGATAAGAGCGCCTCTGCGCCAACGAAACATAGAAAGCCCACCCTATGATCTTTGACAACGACGAACCCGGAATTCATCGAACAGATCTGCTTCGCCAGCTTCGAGCTTTTTCGAGGCCTTGCATCCGACTAGAACCCGAAACTCCGAAATCCTAAGCCTGCGGAGCCTCACACCTGTATCCTAAAACCCTAAAACCTTGAACCCTAAACCTAAACCGAAACCCTACTTGGAGGTTCATGGCACTTATCAACCCAAATTAGAACTGTACTTAGACCCCGATTATGAGCATGTTCGGGAGTTTAAGCTTATAAATGGGTTATACGTACAATTATAACTGGGTTATAAGTACCATGAACCTCCAACTAGAAGCCCAAGAAAGGCCAGCCCTGATTCCCAAAGACTCGACGAAGGATGCCTTGCTGCTCCTTGGCCGGGCTGCTTCGGAGTCTCTGCAGCCAGGTCCTCGGAGCTCTGGGTTTTGGGGCGGGTTTCGGGTTTAGGGTTTAGGTTTTAGGGTTTCGGGTTTAGGGCCGTGGTGCTCAGGGTAGGATTTCTAGGCGTTGGACGCCTGCTTGTTTGGCATTCAGGCGGTTTCGGGCTATGATTTATCATTCCTGCAGTACTATGATTTTTATGTTAATGTTTATTAGCTAGTACGGTTGTTATTGTCAGTATTCTTGTGATTATGGTTATGAGTGTTGATATGTTTAGTAAATAGCCGTTTCGTGTCCGAGCCCGATGGGCTTTCAAGAGAAGGAGGGCCTGTCAACCCCTGCAACACCCGAACATCCACAAGGCTCTGAGGTTGGGATGTTCCCGCAGGCTTTAGGGTTTAGGGTTTAGGGTTTAGGGTTTAGGGTTTAGGGGTTAGGGGTTAGGGGTTAGGGTTGGGATGTTCCCATGTTATACTAGCAGCTCCTTAATAGGGATTATCATAGTGGGGGGGGGGTACGATAATCCCTGTTAAGGACTGCTAGTACCAGGGGGAACATCTTCAAGGCTCTGAAGGGTTTCCGAAAATGGGGTGTGCCCTTTTTTTTTTGGGGGGGGGGGGGGAGTTCCTACAACTGTACCCTTCTTGGGAGGTTCCTATCAAAATTGTACTCTTTTGGGGAACAGAAGGGGGGTCCCTATTTTCGGAAGCCCCCAAATCCTAAGTTACTCGCGAGGTACAGGCAAAGAAGCTTCAACTCCATGATGGCCTCAGTTGTGGTTTGGGAGCCACTGTGGGAACCCCCCCCCCCCCCCCCCCCCCTTCCCAAAAAAGGACCCATCATGACCCATCACTCATTTAGGGAAAGGGACTGGGACGTTCCCCCCTTATACTATCAGTCCTTAGTAGGGGTTGGTACGATAGTCCCTCTTAAGGACTGTTAGTATAAGGGGTAACATCCCAAGATGGGGCAATGGTCAGCTGGAGGTTAGATGTGGTGTCTTATAGCTTGGCGGTCAGCACTTGCGTGCGGGCCTCGGGCATTCACAGGTTTTCGCTTCAAATCGTCAGGGTTGCGGTTCTGAATGAATAAGTTAATGGGCATTTGGTTTTCAGGGTCTCCTGCTTGGTTCAGGCTCTTAAGGAGTTTCAGAACTCAGGGCATGGGTGTCTTTCAGGTTGAGGGCTTCAAGGGTGTGTGGCTATGGCTCTTGTCTACAAGCCTAAAACTGAGCGTTTGGTGTTCTTCCTGAGCGTTTGCCCAGTGGATGCGTTTGTTTGATTCTGCTGTTCCGGGTTCAGGTCGTGAGTTGCCTCAAGGTATTATTGAGCTTTCTTGCTACGCAAATTGTGGGCAAGTTGGGTTTGGAGGGAGAGGAGCTTTTCGGCTCTGGCTCTGAAAGCGCTGCTTGTCAACAGCTCTGGTGCTTGTCAAGTTGGCTATTCGAGTTTGTCAAAGTCAAGTGCTCTCCAAGACGGTTCCCCACCTTTTCATTGCCATACTGCCTCCACGCCTGCGAGTATGAAATTGGCAGCACATCTATAGCTTCGACTTGTGAGGTTCTATTGAGCTGGTGTACTCTTTAGCATGGCAGGAGCACATACTCAACTGCAGAGTCCGATATCATGGCCTGTGGCTCCATGTGCTCCTCGCTACAGCTAAAGGCCCGAACCTTATGAAGAGTCAAGCACAAATCCGAAAGGAAACCTGCAATGAGTCCTTGAGCTGCAGAAACAAGGTGTCTTCGTCGCAGCAAGGCCCTGCTTCCGCAGTGACTGGAGCTCAGTCTGCCTTGGGGCAGTGTTGGGTTGTGAAAATGGCTAGACAGAACACATCCAAAGTTCTTCCTGTGTCCCAACTGGTTCTTCCTTCTCCTCGTTGCCCCTTGTTCCTGTCCTGGTGCTAAGTGCTTTCCGTGGGTTGTCAAGGGGTGCTTGCTCTAGACCCAGGGGTGTGAACGGCCAGACCACGATACGAGAGTTGTATTGCATTTGTATCTCAGCCTATTTTGATCGTTATTCGGTAACAATGGTCTCGCGGAACCCGTCCCACCTGTGTTTGGTTCCTTGTAGTTCTCTTCGAAGGTACTCAAGTGGACGCATGCCTGAGAAAGAATGCAGGAACCCCATGCAGTCTACTTCTGAACTGCAGTTCACAGCGCCGTATATTGTGCACAGTTCATTTTATGAACTCTGTATTGCGCCGACCTTTGGGGCCTCAAGTCAAATCCGAAGCCCACACAGTCTGATGTCCGATGTCTGATGCCAAGCCGAAGAGGCTGCGGGAGATGCGACGGCTCGCTGTTCAGCGGGGACTCCCAGAAACAAACCAGAGCTCTGAGATGTTGGGCACTTTGGGACTTTGTTGCTCGGAAGAGATTTTCCCATCTAACCAATCCATTCAAGACTCCTTGGACAATCCTGTCCTATCCCAACTGCCCTCTTGACATGACTGACATGGACACATCAGCGTCTTGCGAACTCACGGGTGTTGCTGATGGCATGATGTATGTAGTTGAGTGTGCGTGTTAAAGATGCTCTCAGGCACTCTTGCTTTCTGACGCAGCAAGCAGCCCATCTCAGCAAGGATAAGCAGACCACTGTATGCCTCTAGACCCGTACCCTCTACATCTGGTACGGAGCGCGTGCAGCAGCATGAAGACGGTGACGGTGCACAGTCGGCAGATCGACTGTTTCAGTCATCCTTCAGAAAAGCCTCTGTTCTGAACGTGGGGCGAAGATGGATCTTGATTGAAACTAGGCTCTGCTTCACGGCCAGGCCTGACGAAGCAGCCTACGTGGGCATGCTGGGAGCTTGCAAGGCAGGAGTCGCGGTCTTTAGGGCTTTGGGGGGCTTGCGTAGGGTTCAGGGTTTAAGGGTTAAAGGCAAGGGTGAAGGCTTTAGGCTAGGGGGACCTGGGGCATAAGCAGGTCAAGCCAAAGAACAGCAGACAGCAAAACTCGAAGCCCTGAACATCCTAAACCCTAAGCCCTGAACCCTAAACCCGAAACCCTAAGCCCTGAACAGCTTGCAGGAGACAGGTAGCTGGGCCTTTGCCTTGAACCTCTTGGAGGAGTTTCGACGAGGCTGTCCTGGCAACACAGGGCGTAGGATTTAGGGCCGAATTTGCGTGTTGCTTGGGGTGTAGGATCCATCCATAATCCACCCTCCACCCGCAATCCCCAAACCAAAAAAGCCTTTGAACGAGAATGAAAACGATCAGGAAGCAGTGAAGGGGGATATCGGTTCAGCGTTGTAAAAACAGTGTAGGAGCCTCAAAGCCACAAAAAGCAGCCTCTGCCTGCAGATGGTGGGCCGGCGATGTGCAGATCCCAGGAGGGCTCCCTTCAAGGGTGCATACCCTCCCTCCCATAGCGGGGTTGAGGGTTTCGAACTTCAGGAGGTGAATTAGAGGTGTACTGTAGCGTTCTGGGGTTTGAGTTCTAGTTACCGCCCCAGTCACCAGTCATCCCAAGTGCAATGACTTTGGAGGAGTTGTCGCTTTCCGCAAGTGTATCGATGCAGCTTCAGTGCCTGTACTCAACAACGCCAAGCCGTGGAACGATTTGGGGAGCTTCTTTGCACGTGGTACATGCTCATGGAACGCAAGATCGCAAGCAAAATTCAAGTCATCTCAAATATCAAGAGCTGAACCCCTCTTCGTCTTCAGCACATCATGTTCTCGCTTGAACTTTTTCGTCAAGGCAACTACATCATATCCCGAAACAACTCTTCGCTTGCGTGTCGGCAAGGTCAGATCAGACTCCCTTTGCTTTAGCCCTTGGCTCCTGCGAAGCTGCGTTGCAGTGGGCGCCGCGGCAGAGCGAATAATTGGGATGTAGAGGGACCCTAAACCCTAAACCTCCTGAAGCCCTAAACCTTGAGGAGTGTTGGGTTTCACGGTGCTTCGTTCAGAGGACTCTGAAGCCGGCAGGCCATCAACTTAACGTCGCTCCGATAACTTGTTTTCGATATCTTGCTTTCGTAGCTGCGGAACCTCTATGGTCAGATACCTACTACAAGTAAATAATAGTCATGCTGACTATGTAGATGTATAGGGTTCCCGCAGAAGGGGGCCATAAGGAGGACTGACCACATCGCACAAGGATGATGGGAAACATCGACTAGGTTGGACCCCACAGCTTGCAGCTTTTACCCAATCGCCTCAGCCTGTGCATTCTGTGGTCAAAGTCCTCATGGCAGAGCTGCGAAGGCCCAACTTCCAGGGCTCAGGGTTGTAGGGTCTACGCAGGTATTATTTGTTTCTAATGCGCATGCAACTAGGGCCTGATTGGTGTCCTTCCCAAACCGAAACCAGACACCTGGGCTACATAGCCTCTTTCTGCCAAGGAGCTAGCGCTGGCGATGCTGGCCAGGGCCCATGTTGTTTTGGGATCTTGCTGGGATACGCTGCTGGGAGTTTAGGGTTTGCGGGTTTGTGGCTTGGGGATGTTTGGCGTGCAGATGTTTTTCAACCGGATTTGTGTTTGCGTCGTTGGAGTTTTGGGCCTTGGGTTATGCGTTTGGGTTGGAAGTCGAGGTGCGAAAGCTAGGGATAAATCCGGATTTCTACGAGCATACGATCGTCGGAGGGCGGAATGAAACTTTGTCCCACCTGAGAACCCCCAATGCTTGCGGCAACGACTTCATTGCCCCAAATTCCGCCACCTCCTGCCACGTGAGGCCTCGATGCAGCAGGAAGGACCCTTGCCAAATCTGGCGCTTCGGCGAATTAAGGGGGGGCCTTTCATGCCCTTTCATGCCCTTTCACCCTGTATCTCCCTGAGCTCATAGCCCTGCATGTAAGCTGATAACCCTAGAATTAGAAGCTACCATCCAATACCTTCCATAACCCCTAACCCGCGTACTCGGCGGAGGGCCTGTTGGGTTGCCCCAGCCCTCACAGATATGACCCCATGACTATCATCTGACTACGATGTCGACTTTTATCTGCTCGAGCCAGATGTCGAACTTCATATTGTCAAGAGTGATCAGGAATTAGCTTCCAGTCGCCACCCTCTCTGAACATGGCACGCGCTCGCTCGTTAAACAGACAAGCTGGCATCCGAACATCACCATGCATCACGGAACAGCAGCACCACACCCTGCATACTGCAGCACTAGGACAAAGACATTCGCCGTGCATACCCTCACCTGCATTGATGGGCAGTTGAAACCACATGTTCGAAGCTTTGCGGCTCAACGATCTCTATCTAGGATGTTGTTTTTGTCCAGTCCTTGGTTCGGATGTTCACGAACAGGAGGGCTGCGCAAACGGTAACACCAAACGTCTTGGTTCGGTCCCAGTTTTGGTATGTTTTGGTCTGCCGTAAAAAACCCTCAGCCCCAAAAATCCCCGAAGCTCCTGCGCCTGACACCCTGAACCCTACACCCAACTCTGGAGCCCCAAGATCCCGAGGTTTAGGGTTTAGGTTTTAGGGTTTAGGTTTTAGGGTTTAGGGTTTAAGGTTTAGGGTTTAGGGAGCCCGGCAGAAAGGTGACGCTGAATGCGGCAGTTCTGGCGCTCGCGGCCGCGGGGCGAATCGCGGAGGCGCTCTCCGTCGTCCGCCACGCCGAGGCGCCCAAGTCGCCTCGGAGTTCACTGGAAACCCGGTTTTAGGGTTGGGGCTTTAGGATTTAGGGTTAGGGGTTTAGGGTTTAGGGTCAGGGGTTTGGGGTTTGGGGTTTAGGGTTAGGGTTTAAGGTTTAGGGTGGTTTAGGGATTAGGTCATTAGGTTTTAGGGTTGGGGGTTTAGGGCTTAGGTCTTAGGGTTAGGGGTGTAGGGTTTAGGTTTTGAGTTGGGGGTTTAGGGTTTAGGGTTTAGGTTTTAGGGTTAGGGGTTTAGGGTTTAGGTTTTAGGGTTGGGGGTTTAGGTTTGATAGGTTTATGGGTTGGGGGTTTAGGATTTAGGTCTTATTTTCTTGGGAATATCGAAAGGTTTTTGGGGCTTAGGGAAGACGATCAGTGATTACACCCGATGCCCCAAAACTCCGAGCCTCAAGTCATCACGCCTTTCGAGCCCTAGTTCATAACCCGGGTAGTCCAGTGCTCCCCTTTTGCCCTTTTTTGGCTTCAAGGTTCCCCCTTGTAGTAAAGTAACCAACCCCGAAAATTCAAAGGATACCCTTATTCCAATATCGTTGCTGGTCTACTGAATATATACGTACACTCAACTCCACAGTACTACCTGACAGCGCAATCCCAAACTCCTGAGCCCTGTACACGCCTAAGCTGCTAGTCTGCTCGTCCCGAGCCCTACGTCCTACACGAAGCCCTCAAAACCCTATAAGCATCTTTAGGCCCATAAACACACGCACACACACACACACACACCCTGAACCTTCTACACCCTATACCCCACAAACCCACCCCATCAACCCTAGAAAGCCCAGTTCAACTTAGGGACTGTGCAGGTAACCTTTTTCCTTTTTGGTCATATAGAAATCCTACTATCTATAAAAGGTACCCTAAACCCTGAACCCGAAACCCTAAAGACCCTAAACCCTAAACCCTAAACCCTTCGGGGGCTCGGGTTTGCAGCCCCCTCAGTCAAGAGTTGACAAAAGGATCTCGGCCTCGCCTCCGCCGCCTGGGATGCGGAGGCCAACCCATCGCTCCCCAGAGCTGGGGCCTCGGGGGCTTGTTGGGGTTTAGGGTTTAGGGTTTAGGGATTAGTGTTTAGGGTTTAGGGTCTTTAGGGTTTCGGGTTCAGGGTTGAGGGTTTAGGGTGTGCAGGTGTGTGTGTGTGGGTGGGTGTGTACCTAAAGAAAATTGAATGATGTGGTGCGTCACAACACAATACTGTTCTAATATGTAAGCTAGGGCCATTCCAAAGCATGTTTAAAGAGGTTTACAGCCGAAAGCGGTGGATCCCGTTCACTTTTTACGGTTTGTTGTGTTTGTGTGTATGTGTGTGTGTGTATGGGTGTGTGAGTGTCTATGTGTGCGTATGTGTGTGTGTGTGAGAACCCTGATTCTAAGCTAAGGGGCTTGGATACGTGCCTTGGGTGCCCTACAGGGCCAATAAGGTTGGACCGAGATCCAGCATCTCGCTCTCATAGGGTCGAGCGGTTCACTGTCGAATTTTCCCGCAGGGGGGTGCAGCATCTTTGGTCGACTGCACCCAACGAAGCTAGGACCAAAGATGGGAAGCCTTGAGAGACGTCTCGAGGTGTACCTGCTTGTGACCGTCCCAAAATACACCCTCAACGCTGTTGTTTCCTTTTGGTCACTCGGTGATCTGAAGCTTCAGCGCCTCCTGGATGAGATCCAGCAACAGTGTACCATTGTACAACAATCTCTGGTTGACCTCCCTCTCTCCGTGTGTGGGTTTCATCGCCCAAGGGCAATGCACCCGTTTGGGCATTGCCTGATTCCTGGATGGGGATCACCCAAGTAAACAGAGAGGCTTCAGTGCCACATGAGCCTTGGTAGGCACCCAGTGCTATGAGCGGATTCTCTCTCTCTCTCTCTCTCTCTCTCTCTCTCTCTCGGTACCACCCACGCCGGCTGAAGCTCAAAGTCGCCAATAAGGGCGGAGCCGGAAATTGTTGAAGGGTGTCTTAAACCCAGTCGTGAGACATAGACGAGGTGGTCTAACTCTCTATTCGTGGGTCTCGTATTTCCGGTGGTTTGCCCCTCAGTTGCAAATAGACCGTTTTCTTTCTTGCTGGACTTCGCTGCTCGGCTTCTGTCTTAGTAGAGGTGCTCTGGGTCGCTGTGGACAGCGGGGGCCTCCTGGGATGCTCCTGGGCCCTTTGTGGCAGCTGGGGGTCCTCCACGACGACGACGATGATGGGAGGTGCCTTGGGTCACGGCGGTGGCAGCTGGGATCTCCCGGATGCTCCTGGGCCTTTCATGGCAGCTGGAGGTCAGAGATGACGACGATGATGACGACGACACTAAGGATTTCTAAGGTCGGTGCTGGAGGAGGAGGGCCTATGGCACTGACGGGCCTATGGCGGAGGACTCACCGGTGACAAAGGTGCAAAACCAGGACTTTCCCTCTTCGGAGGGTGTGCGGGCAGCATATCTCTTTTGGCCTTGAAGTGCATTGTGTCTCCCCTCGTAGGAGGGGTGTGTGTGTGTGTGAACCCTGATTCTAAGCTAAGGGGCTTGGATACGTGCCTTGGGTGCACTACAGGGCCAATAAGGTTGGACCGAGATCCAGCATCTCGCTCTCATAGGGTCGAGCGGTTCACTGTGGAATTTTCCCGCAGGGGGGCGCAGCATCTTTGGTCGACTGCGCCCAACGAAGCTAGGACCAAAGATGGGAAGCCTTGAGAGACGTCTCGAGGTGTACCTGCTTGTGACCGTCCCAAAATACACCCTCAACGCTGTTGTTTCCTTTTGGTCACTCGGTGATCTGAAGTTTCAGCGCCTCCTGGGTGAGATCCAGCAACAGTGTACCGTTGCACAACAATCTCTGGTTGACCTCCCTGTGTGTGTGTGTGTGCGCGTGTGCGCGTGTGCGCGCGTGTGCGCGCGTGTGCGCGCGTGTGCGCGCGTGCGCGCGTGCGCGTGTGCGCGTGTGTGTGTGTGTGTGTGTGTGTGTGTGTGTGTGTGTGTGTGTGTGTGTGTGTGTGTGTGTGTGTGTGTGTGTGTGTGTGTGTGTGTGTTTGTGCTTTTGTTTTTCGTTTTCTTTCTTTTTCGGAGGGCTTGCGAGGCATTCGGGTTCTCAGCCTTTTTTTGGGCTGCGAGCCTTGCAGAGCTTGCTTTCAGAGATCTTCAGTTCTTTTGAGGTCTCGTGGGGGTTTCATCTACAGATTTTTTTGCGCTTTTAGGGCTTGGAGGATTCTGGGGCTTCTGCGGGCCGTGTGTGTGTGTGTGTGTATGTTTCAGTACTTGCAAGGTACATAGCGCTTCAGGGCTCTAGACTTTAGTCTAGGGAGGTTCCGGTTAGCCGTCTTCTGTTTTATGTTCCCCCACCCCGTTCTTTCGGCTGGAGGAGACGGTCATTCAGATAGACTTTGGAGGAAGAGTTGCATAGGCCGTCGTTTCAGAGAGACAAAAGGGATTTGGGATTGAAGGCCTTGAAGGATGTGCTGGGAACGACCGGAACCTTTGTGCAGAAGTTTCTTGCGGAAATAGTCTCGAGGTTCGGGCAGTTGGATACTGCAGGCAGGTCCCAGGAGCTTGCAACCTTCAATGGCCGCACGGGCCATTGAAAAGACTTTGGAAACTGCTCAGCCTGCATAGTCGGGTGCGGGCCCGCTTGCAGCCAAGCATTCTTCCACCACCCAGCACTCATCCATGCTCTACTGAAGTCCCAAGCTGCGGCATCTTTGGACAGAACCCCCGACCGGGTGTGGGTGGGAGCAGCTCCAGCTGCTCTGATGCTCCGATGGCGAGGTTTGCCACGCCCCAGAAGTCGGGAGCTCTGAGCTCGGTAGCAGGCAGGACAGGCTGTGGATCGCAAGAAAGCCTGAGCTCAGCAGTCACATTTAAAGCGTTCGGATCTTCTTTCCCCCCCATAGACTCTAGCTTCATTGTAAGCTGTAGCTCCTCAACTCTGCCCGTGAAGCTCCCCCCCCCCCCCCGTATTATCGCCTCTCGATCTGCTGCCAAGGCGGATGTTGATCTACACCGCTTTCCGGCAGACGCTCGGATTTGGAGAGTGGGGTTTTGAGAACCTGGTGGGGTATGGAGAGGTCCAAATTCAGGTCTCAGAATGGCAGTTTGAGGTTTGGGTTTATGTGAACTGCCTTAACGGAGACAATGCACCTTCAGCCGCTTCGTTTTGCAACATCCGATTCAAAACCCGTCAGAACCTGCCCTGGCTTTGGGGGTTTGGGAGTCTCGGCCTTACAGCTTGCCACTTTAACCCAGCTCACAAGTTTGTTTTCGCCCGAGGGCAGCTCCCACCAAGGCCTCAATTTGCCAACTTACTCCCAAGCCCCAGACCTTGCTACTATGTGCTTAAGAACCCCAAAAGAAGCAAAAAAGAAGAATCCCTATAGTAGTCGCTTGTCAAGGAGCTCGCAAGATTCGCGGTCCTGGCAGCTGTGATTGATGCCACCATTCACCCATCGAGGCAACACGGCACCTGGGCAGCAGCTAGACCGCCCGGGGAGGCGGCAACAGTCGCGCAGAGAAGCTGCCCAATGCTTGTCATACAGTCATACATTATGAATTATTAACTAAAAGCCGTAGATCAGCATCCGAAACACTGTAGTTGATTCAAGAGCAAGCGTTCTGTCCATTGAACTCCATCAGACATTCCACGCCATGATCCAAAAGACATCATGATGCAATAGCTTGTTTCCATTGCCCCGCGCGCCCCGTCCGAACTTGCCCCCCCCCCCCAACCGGAGCCGTAACCCTGCCTAAACTACTTCCTCAAGCCTCCCAATACCCCATAGCAGCTTCGTGTCTGGATTGGGGTTAGAAGGGGAGGGGGGGAGCTCCACGAGTTCCACTATTTCTCTTGCATTTAGTACGTCGAGTTTCCTTGTTGTCGGTTTCCAACCCACAGTCGTGAGCCTCAAGCTGTGTTGAGAGTTCGGACTCAGACCTCTACCACTCGCACTGTCATGATTCAGAATCTCGGCTGTACTTTAGAGCAACCCTGTACCTTAAGCAAGCGCAAACATACCCAAATAACTATGGATCAAGGAAGTTTCTCTAGTACTTCAACAAGAGGTCTACCCCCTAAATGAGCCGGGTACCCCTTAAAGTACTGTCAAATCATAATCATACTCCTTATATTCTCGGAACTCCCGCAAGGGTACCCCCCCCTCTCCCCCCCTACATTCAGAAAGTCTCACATGTCGCTCTTAAACGCTCCCAGGTCTTGTCTTCGTGACCGGCCGTGGCACCCACGGTGGCGCTGCAGCCCGAACCCCCAGTCGAAGCAGGGTTTAGGGTTTAGGGTTTAGGGTTTAGGGTTTAGGGGGCGAAGGTTTTGGTTTTGGAGGGCTGACAAAAGGTGCAGCAGGGCAGTTGTACTTCCCCCTACAGCCCTACACGAGAGACCATATCTGCGAATATGCCAGCCTTTCTCCTCTGAGCCCTGTTGAATTGGGTGTTGGGTCGGTTTAGGGTTAAGTGCTTCAGCTCATGTAAGGTTCTCTTGGTACCTCTCAGCCCTCTGAATCTCACTCATATCATGGTACCGACAGATCTTGACCGCATCGGTTCCATCCGTAGCACTATCACTGTGATTCTTGGTCGCCTCATGGCACCGAGCTATCTCTTCCAGCTAGACGTCTTCAGGACTGCGCAGGTACAACACCCGCTTACTGTGCGTACTCAGCCCCCAAAACTCTAAACCCTAAACCCTAAAACCCTAAGCCCCCCCACCACGACCACAGGTCCTGACCACAGCAATACGGGCGTGGCTCAGAGAGGAGTTCGACCTGGCTGTGGAGGACGCTTATGGGCTTAGTCGTTTGGGGTTCAGGCTTCAGCTTACCCTAAACTAACCCTAAGGGTCCATGTACCTCATTATTGTATAGTTGTGCCTATTTAGGTACATGGACCCTTAGGGTAAGGGGCTCTTCAGATGCCCCTTACCATGTTGGTTTGTTTCCGGCAAATCCGCCTTGTACAGCTCACATAGTCATTCCATTGGCTTTTCAAAATGCTAAATGGACGCTGGCGTTACTCATTTCGAGGGATTGGAATAGGAGTGCTGCAAGGATTTCATTTGAAGAGTTTATGTCAACATGTTAAAACGCGCCCCCGGGTTCCCCTTCCACCAGCCTTTCAGAGTTTTCCGGGTCTTGAGAAGGGGTTTTCCATTTTTTCCGTTTTTTTGAGGGCCCTCGCCGTTCTGAAAAACGTGAGAAAATTCTTGGCAAGGTCCGGATATAGTACCGTTTGCTGAAGACATGAAGATCCTTAAGGTCCTCCCAATGTTTGAAGAAGCCACTTCCTCAAAGGGGATGCATTAAAGATCTTAAGAAATTCAAGGGGCGTTTCAAATTTCCAACGGCCTCTGGCCTTCCCAAGCTTTGCCCCAACCTCGCGGTTTCCGTAAGAAAGAAAGTTTGCTTGAACGAGTTCCTGGCATGACCTCCACATGCCCGGAAATTCAAAGAGTACTTGCTTATTGTGTACACATAACTTCTTCTCCGTCGTCGTGTTTGCGTGGTAGCAGAATGGAAAGCAGACGAAAGTTCGGGGAGAATGGGATATATCCACGCAGACTTTGCCCACACGTGTGTGTTTGTGGAAGCCAATAACAGAAGCTGCAGGAGGAGTTCTCCTGCTCCCTCTTCCCTGCCTTTCCCGTGTCTGGGTTCTTCCTCCTTGCTTTCTCTTCGGAAGTCTTGGTTTTAAGGAAAAGGGTGAAACGGGTTCTTGCTTCCCCTCAAATCTCTGCTTCTATTTCGCACTCTTCATTCAAGGTTGTTCATTCGAAAGAGAAGAGAAAGAGACATTTTTAGAGCAAGGAACAAAAAAGTGCTCTGCATTCCTTCTTCCTGTCCCATCTGTTCTTCTTGTCGCTGAAAGATGGATGGATGCACAGACTTAGCATGACTTCAGCTAGTCTAAGACTTTTTCACGATGATGATATCTGCACAGCAGAAGTTGCCGCCTAGCACTGTGAATCAAAAGTGAACGCTCGGATCAGATCGATGTGCAGCTGCCAGCCACGACAGGAGGGCGATGCGGAGGGGACTGACGGACGTCTCTGGCTACCGCCGGGCGTCTTGCAATGCCTCGCGGTCGGCGGACAAAAACGAAAGTTTTGCAGCTGTCGGTGGCATGCGACAGGTGACGGAGCACAAGGTCTGATGACAAAGATGCATCCATGAGTCTTTTATCACTATATCATGCAAGTCAATAGCCCTTAGGCCCTGAGCTCACAGTCGACATGGCAACGGCAGCAGATTTTGGCTTTCCTTTTAAGTCAGCTCACGATGAGGCTGAAGTTGTGTGTTGCTGTTGAGGCAAAGCTGCAGCGTGCGTTCTGTGTAAGCCGACAGGTGCTGGATTCGCACTTCAACATCAAGGTCTGTGACTTTGGCAAGACGCAGGCCGCCCAAAGCCCACGCCTAGGGCCTGCAGGCCCAGGTCCTCGCATCGAGACATGTTCAACAAAAGAGTGTTCGGCAGAATGTCACCCCTCATGTCGGCAAATCAAAAAATGTCTGTAACCATAATTTCCTAGCGGTGAATGAGTGCGAAATGAGCACGGAAGATCCGGTTGACTCTGAGGGTCTCTCTGAGTTTCCCTGTATCTCTGAGTCTCTCAGCTTATAGCCCGCAAAGGCCAGAAATCCGCAGCAATGAGAACGCTAGCCCCCACAGCACGTTGGGCTACCGCACTTGCAGCTACAACGCATGGAAATCCTTGGTCCCGAACCTTGAGCACTCACTGACCCCTCCAGCTTACGCCCCTAATTTAGCCCTATAAGGCGGTCACCCATGCCCACAACTGGATGCAAACCACTGAGCACACAGGAGCTCCGCGGCAATGCCATTATCACTGGCCAGGCGCAGAGCTCAGCTCCGTCAAGTGTTGGGCTTTGGGTCTAGCAGTTTAACTCTTTTTGATCCCTGTGCATTCGAGAATCAAGGATGGTACTTGCAAGTTCACTTCTCGATTGCGCGCTCTGAAGGAACTGCAGAATACGCCCCAACACCCCCGCTTCAATCATTCAACAGAAGGTAACATGTCAAAAGGCACTCTTCTGTTGTGTCGTGCTGCCGTTTTCGGCATCGCGGCTGCAACCACACCTTTGCTGCTGCTGGTTTTCGGCGAACCGACTTCAGCAAACTTAGCCCTGACCACCAGCATTGCATGTGCCTCGAAGGGGCGTGCCCTGTGCCTCTTAATTCTGAGAGATTAGACGGGGCTCCAGTCTTTGTTTCTACCAACGACAACACTTCGCAGAATGGCAACAGCTTCTCTTCCTTGACAATTGCGATAGCTCGATGATGGCACATGGGCCTTTGCGTCATCAACTTTTACGCCCCATACGCCTGACAAGGATGAGACCCGTCCTCAAGCAGCCAGAAGATGCCCGGCCTTCTCCCATTTCCTCCCGCTTTGGGTGTGCGCGCTGCTCCTCCGCGCATCCAGGACACCGGAGGATCGCCGCGATACATGGCGCCCGAGTGCCTTGGCCAGCAAGGTTGGATCGATGTGAGGTCATGTTGGGGCTGGCCTCCGATGCTTGAGATCCCAAACCCCCAAACCCTGTAAACTCTGAAGCCTCAAGCCCAAAAAAACCTTGCCCTTGCATAGTCCACGTGCCGAAGATCTAGTATGGGACCCCACACACGTCTGGCCGAGGTGCTTCATTCTCGGTGCGCACATCACGGAGAAGGCCGAGCTGATAATCTACGGATGTACGGTTCAGGGTTTTAGGGGTTTGGGGGTTTAAGGCTTCGGGTTTTGGGTTTTTTGGGGTGTACTCAGGGTTTAAGTCGAGTTTTTGGTGGTTCTCCAGGAGAAAGTGCTTAGATGCAGAGCTTCTTGGCTGTGGTTGTTGCTCAGAAGAGCTGCATGGCGAGACACTTCCGAACTTGATTGTCTAGGATCCCCAAAGCGAGAGCAAGTCTGCCAACGAGCCTGAAGAAGTACAAATCCACACCTGCCCGCAGGTGGACATCTGGAGCCTTGGTTGCTGCCTCGTGGAGGCCCCCTTTATTGGGCCCGACCCTCGCACGACGGAGCGCTCCTCTGGGTGTTCAGGTTTGTTTGGTCTTAGTCTGATGTCGGTGGCTTCGGCTGTTCTGGTCCGGACGTGCGCAGGATGTGTTGAGTCTTGCTTCGATTGGCCACGTGGGCTCAAGCCCCATATTCCAAACCAGTAGCCCCGAGTGAGCTTTGCGCTTATCTCGAGGGGTGTCGGCTTTAGGGACTCCGGCCTCAAAGAGTGGCAAAGCAGCAAAGACAATGCAGAAACCTGTCCAGGCGCTTGCAGAAACCTTGCGCGAACCCCTCCCCCTGCCCCGAGGGCCCTAGGGTGTAGGGGTTCAGTGATTCAGCATGCTGTTTTGCAGGGCTTATTGTCGAGGGTTATATGGGCAGCCCACAGTCTTACTATAGAGATGAGAATTTGGACCCTAAACCCTAAAGCCCAAACCCTAAACCCCAAACCTAAACCCGAAACCCTAAACCCTAAACCCTAAACCCTAAACCCTAAACCCTAAACCCTGACAGGTGCTCGGTGGGCCGCTGCCCTATGAGGATGTGCCTGCCATGTCCGAGGCGGTGTTCTCGTGATCTCCACCCTCAAACCCCCTAAACCCTGTAAATCCTCAACCGATGTTCATGGGATGTAGCCCGCTTTTCAAGTTTTTGTTTTCAAACGGTAGGCTGAGGTCTCCCAAGTGTTCAGGGCGGAGGTCGGATTCAAGATGTCTCTGCTTTAACTCCCAGCTTTGCCTGATGTAGCAAACTTGCACAGGTGCAGGGCCTGCTGCAGCAGGGCATTCCGCCCTTGGTGCCGCCTTGGCAAGCCCCCCTCCCTCCATGCACTCGAGAGGTTCAGGGCTAATTGCTTGGGGTGAACATAGCCTTCGGTGATGCATGCAGCCGGCTTCTGACACCTTTCAAAAATATCTGGCCAGCGGGCGCACAGCGACAGATTAGAGGTGCTGATTGGAATTTCACTGGTCCTCGTGCATGCTACCTTGTACCACGCAGGATTTGTGTCGGTGGTCGCAAGGTAGAAGGGGGTATTGCAAATTAGAGTTCCTTGATGTTCCTTGTTTACGCGCACAATAACTTTGAAAGCACACCCACAGAGAAACGTGCAGCGTGGCCTGTGAGCCTTCCATTGCTACCACGCTTTCATTCACAAACCCTGAAAGACAGGCTTCAACAAAACCTCTGATAACGCTCTGGCCCCGCAGCATGTTCAGGCCCTTTTCGGCTACGTAGAACTATGAAGCAAAGATGCGGAACTCGCTCGCACAATCGCATCGCATACATGTCTGGCAACATGTGGCAACCGAAGTAGAGCAACCCATTGTACATTGTCGGCCAACTACAGCCTGGCTCAGCAAGGTTGTGGGTGACAGACATGGTGCCAATGTAGTGCGACCTCTGTGAGAAGCTTTATAAGTGGCGCCCCGAAGGATACTTAGGGAAGTGCCGCCAAAGCGACCCGCGGCGGCCTGCCGGACGGTGCGCGGCCTCGCTCTTAGGGGCGGGTGGACATTTTGACATTTGGGTGGTTGTCATAATTAGTAGCCCTTTTGGGCTACCCTAAGTATTAGGTGCCGTATTCTAATTAATAGGGGCCATAATTTTGACAACCACCTATGTGGACAGTCATGGCTTGTAGAAGAAGCAATGCCCTTCCAGGTTAGATCTCTCAGTCAACGGCTGAACTACAGCTTAAACTGGGTATTGCTTTGGGATAATTTTAAATTTCCCTTCTTTCCCTTTTAAGGGAACCTATTCATAAAGCAACACCCAGTTAATTTCATGGTAACCTCAATAGCTCTACCTCGGATCCCTCAGGTCGTACCCCTTGTGTTTGGGGACCCTTGCAAAGAACCCCTTGGCAGAAAACCGGGGCCATGTTCGGAGTAGTTTAAGGAACCCCTTTCGGGGTGCAACACTTGGGGGGCGTGAGCTTTCCTCGCTGCATTCTCTATCTCTAGCCCTGAACGCGCCAATCGAAAAGGATGATGAAACTCTCACAACCCTCAGCCCTAAAGTCGAACCCTCAAGTTGAAGCCCTAAACCCTAGCCCTAAACCCTAAATAAACCCTAAAGTTTGGGGTTTAGGATTTAGGGTTTAGGGTTTCGGGTTGGCCCTAGACCCTAAACCCCCTAAGCTTCTTGGACTCCGCAAAAGGCTGATTGGACTCTGAAGGGTCCAATCTCCTCCTTCCGGTCCAGGGGCACGCTGCCAAGTTTGCCAGGGGGTCAGAGCGCCGCCAAAATGACAAGCCCGAATATGCATAGAAGTTGGAATTTAGGGTTTAGGGTTTAGGGTTTAGGGTTTAGGTTTAGGGAGTGCATCCATGAAAGGAGGCTTCTCAAAAACAGGTGTCGTTTTGGGGGATCCCTTTCTCCCTAACGCAGACAAGCCCTGATGTGGGACTAGAGGATTTGAGACCCCCAGGTCATGTAAGCTCATTGGATCAAAGGGTTACTTGTGTTCCTGGATACTGGCGTACCTACTTCTTATAAACCCTTAAACTTCGTTGGGATGGCTGACAGAGAGGCCTGGAGAGTCATGCCTCACGTACCTGCGCTCTCAGCCATCTGGCTTCAAACATCATCCGATGGAGTCCTAGAAAAATGACGGACATCCCCTGCAAAAGGCTTCTTACAGGCTTGAGACTGGGGATCGAAGGCCTAACAGCCCATTGACAGCTGCAGACGGGAGTTGAAGGCAGCAAGAGTTAAGCTCACGACTCAGAAGACGCGCGGCCAAACAGCACCTCCAGCCCCACCAGGTGCTCGGCTCACCTCCAGAAACCCAAACTCGGGGCAAATACACGCCCGAGCTCAGTACGCCTGAACCTCAGGATTCCACAGCCACTGAAACCCCTAAAGTGCGCCAAAGATGGCGCTGTGGCACGGGCTGCTGCTCATGCCGCTTGGCTGCTAAGCAGTGCTTGGGCCCTCAGGACTTGGGGGCCGTAATCTCCTGAATGTAGGCCTTGCGTCGTGTATGAATGTGTTTCCCCATGTTTCAGGCTCATGGGCTTGCATTTTGGTTGAAGGCCGCAAGATCTCCGACCGAAGTGAATGCAGGCTTCAGCTGCAGGGTACAGGTAGGTTAAGACAAATGGCCCCGAATAGCGCCGGATTGCCATCGAGGCTTTTGCGGGCTGCGTGCTCGAGCATTGCAGAGACGCCCGGCATGAAGTCATGCGTGGAAGGCGCATCGCAGAATTATTGCCCTTGCAGCCTCACCCTAAACCCTAAACCCGAAACCCTAAACCTTAAACCCTAAACCCTAAACCCTAAACCCTAAGCCGTGGAGTTTCGGGGTTCAGGCTTTGGAACCGACCCCTCCGTCTCGGAGCACGGAGCTGGCATTTTGAAGCCCTCCCCAAGTCGCACAAGCAAACGCTCCAAAGCCCCAAACCCCTAAGGCCTTAAAGGCCCTGGGTTTCGGGTTTAGGGTTTAGGGTTTAGGGTTTAGGGTTTAGGAACCCCTAAGCATGAGCCCCCAAAAACCCGCCAAACAAACCACCCTAAGCCCCAATGAGTTTAGGGCTTCGCGTTTTGTCAACCCTCAACCAGGAACCTCCAGCGCCTGGCACAGCGGCCTGAGCGGCAGAACCGCCACTGGGACTTTGTGTGCCGGGGGGGGGGGGGGGGGGGCGCTGAGATGTCGGCTTCGGAGGGCGGATGTGGGACCTTACAGTAGGCCCAGACCCAAACGCCCAACCCTAAATTCTAAACGCCCTGGACTCTACCACCCAAAGCCCCAAACACCTTATACCCGCTCTGAGTCTCAATCCGGGCATCAAAGGCTTGGTACTTTGAGAGCTCCCAGAGGTGAGAAGGGGGTCTTGAGAGAATGCGTCGCTTGAGTATGAAGCCTGTATAAGGGCTGAAGGATTCGAGGCGTATCTATAATAGGGGTTTTAGGGATGTTGAGGGGCTTACGGAGTTGGGGCTTTAGGCTCAGGCTGCGGAATCTTATAGGGCTCATATGAGCTTAGGGCTTCTGGGCTCCAAGCCGCAAACCCCAAACTTTCAAACACCTCAACCCTGAACCCTAAACCACGCACTCCCTGGGCCCAGGCCCACTCAACATCCTGGGCGTATCACTGGGAGTACTCAGCGCGCCCCTGGATGCTGTGGCGTGTGGGACCCAGTCAGCCCATGATTTCGGCTCCAGTCCCTGGTTCTATTCACACGCCACAGCTCTAAACTGGCATCTGGAATATCTCCATGACTTTCCTCCGAACCGAACAGGTCATGAAACTCGGGCCTCAAACCTAAATTTGCTGAAGGCCCCCTGAATCCCAAGCTCTTTGCCCCAGGTATAGTGTGGCTCCACAGTCCGTCCTTGCGCCAGTGGGCATGGCACGTTCCTCAGCGCCAGCAGACACCATATACTTGCAGTTTTGCAGGGCAAACTACCCTGATTTCCGGACTCTCAACTGGGCTGCAGATCTTGGTCCACTGCCTTATTCATGTGAAGTCAAGAATGAACCTAACACAGGCTTCTTCGTGCGCGACGTGCAGTGACAGTGCGTTCTGTATCAGAGCCCATGTATCAAACGTGATGCACAGTGCACCTACATCGGAATCAGAACTGCAGAAGCGAGTCCACTTGAGGGACCCTCCTTGAAGGCGTCCCCCGTGTCACGCGAGGGCGCGCGCCACTTCCAGCAAAAAAGTGATTGCTCAACCATTGTTCACTGACCGCGCGCTCGCTATACGAGGTTCTAGACCGAATCTTTCGTCTCCTGTGCTCCTGCGCAAGGCAACTACTCGTGCCTGGGCATGAGCATCAGCCAGGGCTTTGGCCACACAGCTTTGCCTCCTTTGGAGCTTCGGCATCAGGAGCATCATGCCGATCCCTGGGCTCTTGAAGAGCACAGGGGAAACTTTTATGACCTCCATGCCTATGCCTACGCCGCCGGCACTCTTTGAGTGGCCTCTACTTGGACCAGAAGGTCCCGAAACCCTGCAACCCTAAACCCAACCTCCCCCCCCCCCCCCCAAGCCCTGAAACCCCACACACTCGATAGGTCGGTCTCGCCCCTTCCCCCCATTTCGAACCCAACCCTAAAACTCTCTGATTCCTCTGTGAGGAACAAGCTCCGCAAAGGCAGTGTGCAGCCTAAGCTGTCGTTTCACCACTGCCTCCGCCATCACACGATGAATCGATGTGTCAACGCGTTGAGTCAAAGCCTACAGCATACACGTCAAACTAAGACGCGGCAGTCACATCTAGATATTCTTTCGGGTTTCGGGATTTAGGCCATGGGCCCCGCCCCCCCCCCCCCCCCCCCCCCCCCCCCCCCCCCCCCCCCCCCCCGCCCCCCCGCGCCCCTGAGACACGCTCGAAAAAGGTCGGAATGCTGTTCAGCCTCCTAGCGGCCAACCGGGTCCATGGCGATGACTTGCCGCACGGAAGGGATCAGGATTTTTCTTTGTGCTTAACGATGTTAGACCCGTTGCGTTTGGTTCTTTCAGGAGAAGGGGTTTGGGGTTGGCAGGTTGCTGCAGTAGGTCAGGCACACATCATACTCATGGTAGGGCTTGGCAGTTTTTTTTTGGGGGGACGAGTGGCGATGGCATCCGCTTCGGAGGACCTTTGGGGTTGTGGTTCTTAGTGGTTCTTGGGGAGGCCACTTACAGTCTCGAGATTTGGCCTGTTCCCCTGCAACCCACCCATGTAGATGAGTCCCCCAAAACCCTAAACCCTACTAAGGACTCCAAAGGATGTCTTGTCAGCTCTGGCCGTGGTCCTGGGCGCGCGGGGCCAAGCAGTGCAGGGCTGGCGCAGCTATGATGGGCATCCGCTTCAACGTACAGTCGAACATTTGTACTCTTTTATGTTGTTTGTACTATAGAATATATTACAACACTACATAATTATTGCCAATGCATTCTTATATTATATTACAACACGTGTGTGTTTTTCTTGTTGCCCTGCAGCCTCATGCCGGGAGCAGCACCCAGGCCCATGTTCCCCAAGTTGCGAATAAGCCCATAAAGCCCAGCAGGAACTGTCAGGAACTCCTGAGCCAAGTCTGAAGCTAGGAGGCCGGGGGCCGGGGGCTCCCTACGTTATATGGGTTGGAGGTCTCGTAGGGGCATCTTTTGGGGTTCTTATTTGGGTAGCGAGGGGCTCTAGTATGGTATAAGGGTATCAGATAAAGAGGCCACCGGCCTTTATAATCCCTACTCCCTAAATGTGGGCCCTAACTTGGGAAGCCCTTATCACCGGCGGGCCTTTCCAAAACGTTCGGGATACCCTGAATTGTTCCTACAGTACAATACGCACCAGGGTATGTTGGGGTACATGAGGGGGATACCCTGACTTTAGCAACCCTGAACCGTGCACCCTAAACCCTGTTCTACAGGAACCCCAAACCCTAAACCCCATCTGAGCAACCCTAGACCCGAACCCCTAAACCCCATTTCCCTAAACCCCTCAACCCCAAACAAACCCATCTGACCCTAAACCCTGAACCCTAAACCCTAAACCCTAGGAACCCCTATAGGCCCCATTTCCCTGAACCCCCTCAACGCAATGATGCAAGACAACGAGGCGGCTTTGTGCCTGGACGGGGGTGCCGATAGCGGCTCTGCCAGAACCGCACCATCCTGGGTGGCTGGGTCTAAATTCTGTAAGAAGAAACATTTTTCGTAACCATCTGGGGGGGTTTGCGATATTAGGGGTACCTTAAACTTACTGGGGTCCCTATAAGAAAGTGGGATCCTACTCTTTGGGGGTCTATATCGGGGGTCCTTGATTATCGTACACCCACATGTAGTAGGAATGAAGTACCGCAACAGTTTAGTAGGAATGAGATGATACACGCAAAGCATCGTGATCCAGAAGGATAGCTCGAATGAACATTTTGGGCGTCTTATGGTTTTTCGTTGCGCAGAGATTACAAGGGGAAATGTCGACAATTGTCTCGGCTCTTGGGTAACTAGTTCAGAGTTTTGTTGGATCAGGGTGTTGGGGCTTTGGGTTTATCAAGGGACTGAGGGAGGGGCCCTCAAAAGGGACCTTCGGGATGATTTAGGTACATAAGAACTATATAAGGTATATATAGGGGTTAGATCCGGTTTAAGGTCACATGCTCCACCTTGGGTATTGACTTCGCTGGAAGCTGAGGAAATGTATGCTGCATACATTGGCACCGCTGTGGCCATGTGCCTCCCTGGCTTATGCAAAGATTATTAAGAGTTAGTGTTCTGAGCATTTGCAAGAGTCGCACTATGAATGTTAAACATGGTCCTATTTATGATTGTTGAGTACAGTTGGTATTGCGAGGAATCCGAATATCAGCACTAGTATTTTCGATCATGAATGTTAAGGTTACAAGGCTAAGAATACTACTCTTCATATTCACAGTTCAGAGTTGGTTTTCTAGCAATATTGCTCTGCCATTCTGACTGCTCTTGCTCTTGCCATGATGATGCCCTTAAGCCCTCCCAAAGGACCCCTCAGAGGTGCAGCCTGCTCGCCGGCGCCCTTTTCGCCTGCCGGGAGACGGCGGGCCGCCTGGACGCCCTCTGCAGCGCCATGCTAGGCCTTGGAGTGAGGAGGTTGGGGTTGTCGGATCTTCGGGTCTACGGGGCTTTCGGAGGTTCTAGGATTCTAGGCCTCTAGAGTTGCGAATTTCGGGATTTTTGAAGATGGATTTGGACATTCCCTTGGAGTGTTGGGGTCAGTGGAGCTGTTCAGCCAATGCTCAGCCGAACATGGGAGGTGGGAGTCTTGGATCTGCAAGCGTCGTGGCCAGCAAGACCCTCACCGCCGCACTAGCCTCCTGAGCTCAACGGTGGAGGTTCTGGGTTTAGGGTTCCGGGTTTAGGGCTTTAGGGCGCCGGCCGTAGACGGTTCAGGAGGTTCCGCCGAAGAAGCGCTTGGAAGTGCTCCTTACGGCAGATATTCTCGACGTCGGGATTTCCGTTCATTTTGTGGAGCCCTTGACTCTTGTAGCGGTGCCGTCTTGGATCTTCAAAGATGAGAAGAGCAGGCAAGCGGGCCTTTTGACAAGGACAGTTGGTTTGTTCTCGTTCGGCAGCTTTTCAGCTGGTTTGTCAAAGTGCGCTGCCTCAGAAGTCGACGCGAAAAGACGTGGAATGACGTGGGGCCCTTAGTTAGTTTGTTTAAAGCTTGTTTCACCGGAAACCTACATGTGTATCATGTGTGTGTCATGCGGTAACCTTGGCCTGCCTCGATGCTTTACATTGCCTCAGCCTTTCGAACTTTACTTTACAGCTTATTCCCCCACCCCCACGCCCCCCAGCCCGATCACATGCTCCTAGCTCCCTTAGGATGCGGACCCGAGAATGACAAAGACACCAGTACGCCCAAGTGTACTGCTCAGAAAAGCCCGCCTCCCGCCCCCTACCCCTTCGCATGGGTCTTGAACCTCTCCGCCACCCCGAGCCCAAAAGATTGAATCGCCTATGGTTCATCTTCATCTCAGGTTGACGGCCCACGGTCTCCTTCGATGCTGCTTTGTGCAGCCATGCCTTTGGCGCTCATCGCGCCGCTGCATCTCTATGCCCCTTGTCTCGAGCCCGGGAGGCTAGACACAAAATAGCAACGTGTTTCCTTCCTGGCCAGTGGCACCTTGGTGCTGTAGAAGGGGAAGCCCCTCCTGAGGGCCATGTAAGAAGAAAGGTCACAAGAGCGTGATGGTGAGAGAGCGACCGAGACAGAGACAATCCTTTTGTTTTGAGTTAGGTCCAAAGAGGCTGGGGGAATCTTCCCGCACATGTGGCGCTCGCTTGTACTTGTTTGGTACCCTTTCTCCTGTTGTCGGGAGAGCATGGAATAGCATGTCCCAGCCTCGCACTTCTCGCAGGGGCGATGGCCCAAGTGCCGGAGCACCCGTTTACGGACCAAAATCCATTCTGGCGGGGGTGAAGGGCGCAACCCTGGATGCCCACAGGCCGCGGGAAGAAGAAGACGAGAGTAAGTCAGCGAGTGAGATTTGCGACGCTCCAGCCTGAAAAAGAAGTAGAAGATCAGAAGTAGAAGAAGGATACGGAGAAGAAGAAGAAGAAACCACTTGACTCTTCTCGGCTGTGTAGAAGAAGAAGCAAGAAGAAGGAAGAAGAAGGAAGAAGAAGGAAGAAGAAGTAAGAAGAAGGAAGAAGAAAGAAGAAGAAGAAGAAGAAGAAGAAGAAGAAGAAGAAGAAAAAGACCACCTGACCGTCGCAGCCGGGCTCTCCCTTTTGGGGGCCCTCAAGTGCGCAGAAGACGAAGACAGAGACAGATGGAGACGGGGGATATGGGCGCAGGAAAAGGGTGGAGAAGAAGAAGCATATTCAACATGGGAGAGTTCTGAAGTAGGCAGCAGAGGAATTCACAGGAGGCTGGCTGAAGTTGTCGCAACCAGCCCAGGTGTTGAACCGCTCTTACGGCAGGCCAAGGGGTGCTCCTGGTACCCAGTTCCCAAAACCCACAGCATAAACATCTCGAAGCATCGGCGGAGCATCTGTAAGGTTCATGCCATGTTGACCTGTTTCAGGGTGGTTGTATTCAGGGAGCTGGTCTGAAGTTCAGTATGCTGGCACTGCATCCCATGGGTGGGCTTCTGGTTGTTGTTTGCCACCGTGGCTTCATCAATACCACCCGGCACTACACTTGAGCTAGATTTTTGAGTATGGAATGGGTTTCTCCGAGCTAATCAGAACTGAAGCCCTGTAGTTACCAGCCTCAAGGCATGTCTCAGTCAGGATACCGCGGCCTGAAATGGAAGAAACGTTCCGGTCCATTGGCAGCGGGTGGAAGCTATGAGCCCAGCCTTGGGCCCTTCTGTTGAAGTGGTCGAACATGTTGTATGCAAAGGCAACAAAATCCAGAAAGAAGAGACCCTGGCAGGCACTCCCTTGTCATCATGTCCCCGAGCATGGGCGCGTCTGCTCTACTCTGCAATGTCTTGACGGGCTATCTGCTCTATGGTGAGGCAAGGCAATTTGAATGGTTTCAGGATTTTGGTGGAGTTGTTGCTGCAAACCCCACCTCGGAAACCAGGTCATCTCAAGTCGACGTGTCGAGCTGGTGAGTGAACTTGAACTTAGACTGAGCTTACTTCTCGAGAACCAAAGCTAGAAGCAGGCAGGTGGAGCTTCTTGTTGCTGTTGGGATAGCTTGCAATGCTATCAACAAAGGACTACACAGTGTGCCGTAGGCAAGTTGTACAAGTGGGAGCCTCCGCATAAAAATTCTGCAGAAGCGTGCCCAAGCGAGGGAGTCCGAATGCCAGGTCCCTATCGGCTTTTGGGAGTGACGGGGCTGCAGTGGCGGAAATCAGGATGCGGTGGTCCTTCGGTCCTTCTGGTTGGGGTTTCGGGTTTTGGGATGGGGTCCTCTTCAGACTTCCACACTCCGAAAACTCTCCAGTTAGTGACACCCTCCCTCCCCCTTCCACCCACACACACACGCCGCATCCTCCATTCGCCCCATGAGCCCTAAACCGAACTGCCGAGGTTCAGCCTTGGCATCTCCCTGATCCTGAGCGGCGTGCTCTCGCTGATGTTCTGGAAGTCGAAGTCCACTGTGGCAGCGCAGTGAGCCTGTGGAAAAGCAGCCGGCGCTGAGTCCGCGCACTGAAAGGTGTGAACAATCGGTAGCCACTCCCCCCAGAAGTTTGCTAAGTCTAGATCAAGAGAGCACTGCGATCCTGCAATGTACTGTGATCCATGTGGGTGGTTGTCAAAATTATGGTCCCTTTTTGGATCCCCATTATGATACGGCACCTAATATTTAGGGTACCTACCCCAAAAGGGATCACATTTTTGACAACCACCCATGTTGATGCGCCGGCAGCGAGATTTCAAGAGCCCCAGTCGAGATGCTTGTTTCGCTTGGAGTACTACAGCGCAGTTTTTTCCTCAGAGCAAGCACGGAGCCAACTTCACCACGTTGCAGCATGCCACTCATGCGCGCCTCCTCCTCCCCCGCCCTTAAGAAGAAGTACCCGAGTCCAACGACCTCAGTTCCAGACCCTCAACACAAATCTCATCCCAAATGCCCAACTCTTGCATCTCTTACCCTTAAACACCTCCAACCCTCTCAAGGCTCAACTCCTCCAAGAAGTCCTGAGCGCAAGAGTTGCACCTGAGCTTTACAGCCCCTCTTCGGGGCACCCCGTAATATAAAATAGACCCCAACCCCCCACCCCCACCCCCAAAAAAAATAGCCACCGTCGAGAGCTGTCCACAGAGCCAAGGCCATGATCCGGCTGGCCCTTACGCTGCTTTTAGTCAAGGCGTGGAGAGTGGTGGTCTAGAAGAAGCCTCTGAACCCTCTAACCGCATAATCCCTCATAACTCAACCCCTATAAAATCCTTGAACCCCTTCTACACCTTATGGCCCCCGTAATCCTTCTAACCCCTATAAACCTTAGAAGAAGAATATAGGCCCAATAAACGACGGGCTGCGGGGCTGGGGCTGGGATTGGGGGTCCTGGCTTCGGGGTGACAGCTTCGGGTCTCTGCGGGCGATGTGTAAGCACGACGAGCCTGAGCTTTGGGATTTGTAAAGGCATGTGCTCAACATTGTGCACCGGGGAACTCTAAGATTCCCAATCCGTACAGGATGGGAACCCTTTTGGAAGGAATCTTTGCACTGAAGGGCTGAAGGTCTGCAGAATGGAAACCGTCTTGTATGCCGCAAAACCGCATAGACCTTAGACACTAGAGTACCCCTTAACTAAACTGTCCAAATCGTAAGCCCAAACCCAAACCCAAGCCCACATTCCAGACATTATGTCCTAAACCCCAAAGCCCAAACCTGAAACCTCAAGCCTACCATAAACCCGCCTATAAACCCTACAAGACGTATTTACACTCTGCATCTAAACCCTGTACAAACCTAGCATTGGGCCTTGTAATAACCGTTAAATGCTACAAACCCTACAAGCCCCATAAGCCCTAAAACGTACCTGTTTTAAACCCGCTAACCGCTGTGAGCCCTTAAGCCCTATTATCCCCAAACCCTATAAGCCCTTCAAGCCCTCGAAAACCCTAAGCCAAGAAACCCTATAAATCTTAAACAACCCCATAAACCCCCAAGCGCAAAACCTATATACCCTACAAACCCTCACGAGCCAGGGTTCTGGATCTACTGAGCTGACCCCAGAGGAGCGGCCTGCACATGGGCCGCTACTTGGAGGTTCAGGGTACTTGTTAACCCAATTATACTGTTAACTTGTAACCCGATTATAACCCTGTCAGGGCACTTAAGGGGCTTCTAAGGTGGGTTATAAGTACGGGTATTATCGGTTTACTAAGTACCTCCAAGTAGGTCTTCTTTTGTCCTCCAAGGGCTCTAGGTAGGGTTTCAGAGGGCTGTCTAGTGAAGGCCGTAGGTTCAAGGTTGGGGGCTTTCAGGGGCCATTTTGGAGGACAGTGGTTTAGTAGAATTAGTCTGGGTTCAGGGATCAAAGTCCTGAGATCGTGAGTGAGTCTGCGCAGCTCCTGCCTCACTTGCCTAAACTCAACATACCTCAGAATTATATTTCAACATACTAATATAATGCAATATGATATCACATCATTCTACTGCTTTGGTTCTTGCACGTCTAACCGCAAGTGTAAGCAAGTGATCTTTACTACGTGGACTGAAGGACTCAGGATTGTTTTTTAGGGCTTCGAGCTTGTGGAGTTGGATGCCGGGCTGTTTGGCCAATCCGCCTGAGAGTTGAGGCCTGTAGAGCCTGAGCCATCCACCGCTTCAGTGTGTTGCCCAGCGTCCGATTTCCGATGAAGAGGGCAGGGGCATGACCCACCTCACGACACATGGGCAGTGCATGGGTAGTGTTAAACATCGGTGTCACTGTGCTGGATGACCCAAGTTTGCTGGAGAGATCTGCCACTGAGACAAGGAGTCGGCAGCTTGCAGACGCTGGCGGTTTTGATACACTTACACCCCGGAACGCAGGAGTCCCCGATTTGCTTTTCAAAAGGTTCTGCATGTGTTGCTTGGGCGGGCCACGCCGACTGCCTCAAGGCCCACACTGCCTTCCGACTTCCGTACGCAGCCTGGCCCTTCTGTGAGCCCGACTCCGGCACCTCAAGCGTGCCACAGAAGCCTGAACCCGTTAATTCCGTTAAACCATTCTTGGAAACATGATCCGGGTCCAAGCTCAGTCGCAGGGCTATGCAGAGATCCTGGCGACCAACTCGCCCGAAAAGAAGGAGGCTCGGGCCTTTATCGCAGGCTTGTTTTGGGTTGAGAGCTCGAATCAAAACCAGGAGCGTTCATGAGGTTCTCAGATGTTACGAGCCGCTGCAGGGAGTGTCGGAGCAAGAAGCACAAGAGTGGACTTGTCGGTGACTTTTCATCACGACAGGAGTTCATCGAAACCGTCGTGACCCAACAGCTTCATGGCTACGTTACCAGCCGCTGACTAAGTGCACGGATCCGTATAGCTCGTTGCGAGGACATGGGATGTAAGAACTACCAAGCTTTTCCAGTCCGAGCCCCAGCATTGTCAAAAAATGTTGTAGCTGCAGGTGCTGCAGGCATGTCGAACATACAAGGGTTCCTTCGCAAGGACGCAGAAAGAGGGCGGGTCGTACGTATGTGTACTGCAGAATCCGGCTACCAAATGCTACGGACGACTCTCAGGCCCTTGACCAGCCCAAGTCTCTTCTTTATAGATCATCATAGGGTTGTACAGGGTTCTGGTACCAGTCGAGGGTGTTTGTGAAGTGCACACTGGGCGATGCCGCCTTACCATGGAGGAAGGATTCTCACTCCATGAATTGCGTGCGAAGGCGACGAGGGCCTCAAGAACTTTGCAGCCACGGTGCCCTGGTGGTGCAGTGGATCACAAGCTGTGAATGGTTGAAACCCTAAACCCGAAGCCCCGAAGCTTGAAGCTCGAAGCTCGGGAAAGCCAAAGCCCCGAAGTCTCGTGGCACCCTCGTGCGCGTGGCACCCGCGCACGGAAGCCGGCCCTCAAGCAAATGCCTCAATACAGCGCTCTTTGGAACCGCCGTTTACTCCAAATCCTGTAAGCCCCCAAGCCCGTTAATCCTGCAGGGTTTGAAGTTTAGGTTTCCGAATTTTTTAAAAATTTCGCACCCTGACCTCGCCAGGCGCCTGCTTCATGGCCGCTGCTGCTTTCACAGCTCAATGGTGCCCCGTGGCTTTGCGGCGGCGCAACAGGCGCCTGTGGGTTTTACGGCATGACGCCTGCGATCTTGTAATCTGGCGGGAGGGCGTGGCATGAAAACAAGGGATGATTTGGGGAGGGCTCAGGGCAGCTTTAGATTTCATTTAAGGCTTTCGATGGGGCTTTATGAGCCCGAACCTGCTTTGGGCTGTGGCGTTGTCCGCCTTTTGACATGCCACCGAGGACCTGGAGGGGAAACCCAAAAGGCCTCGGCAGCATAATTCCATCCAGATGCGGGCTTGTTTATAAATTCGGGTGCCCTTATCGGTACCTCGTATAGTTGAGAATGCGGACCAAAAGGCTTCCAAGAACGATCCTGATTTAGAGCAACCCCAGGTCTTTGTCGCATATCGTGGCTCTGCAGTGCATCACTTTGATGGCTGCCAGATGCCGAGTCGGCTCTACTTTGGTGAGGTCTCTCACTATGGCCTCACTCCATCCCAGCCTGTGCAGCAAAGTGCCTGCTTGTCGCCGCGAGCACAGGGTCTCAATCTCGCATCGCCTTTAATAACGAGTCGCTTCGGAACGATCTCAGCACATCAGCTGGCAGGAGAGAAAGCATGTTGGCTGCACCGCACTAATGCACACCCTCAGCCCCCCCCCCCCCCCCCCCCCCCCCGCGATGGACCGCCAGGGCGCCTTTGCGACAACCCGCTCACTGCCCCGTTGAACCCACAGGGCTGGGCATCTGTCTGGATCTTAGCAGGGTGCCAACATCCGACCTGGCCTTACAGCATGTCAGTAAGCTATCCCATGTGAAACCCTCAAGGTTCAGTAGTTCGGATCTGGCAAGAAAAGTGAATCAAGAGGTTCGCAGACTTCCCTGGCCGACACCACTACGTTTGCAACTCTTGGATGTGGCGAGTATGATGATGCGATGGGCCTCCAACCGGTCATGCTAGACTTGCACAACTCGAACATCAATGTCAGACAAGACTCAGCACGATCGGCTTGGCGGTCGGGGCCGGCAATGTTTACTAGAGCCCGTCCCCAGACAAACAACACCCAGAAAACTCGACTTCAAAAAGGATCTGTGCGACCCCGCCCCACGCAGCTTAGCCCGGAAGCTTGTCTTTGCAGAGGGGCACCCACAAAGGAGTCTGGACATGTTTGCCTGTACCCCAAGCCGAAAATTCCTTGGGTAAAGCCCTAGCTCTGTACTTAAAACTCTAAACTTCTAAAGCCCCAAACCAACAAAAGCTCAGGTGCTCCGTGCCAACGAAACGGCCCGGGGAGTTTTTGCCCGACGCATTGCCGTGGAGCGGTTGCACGCGAAGGCACTGAAGGGCGTTTCCAGCTCTTGGCGTTTGCAGGTTGTGATTTATCCAATGTGCTTTCTTTGTCAACCCAGCATCTTTTTTGGGTTCAAAACCCTGACATCACCCAGAAAAGCCCAAGGCCCCTGCACCTTCATGGTTTCTCCTGCGCAAACCCGAATGCCCTGGATACACCGGGCTCCGGGCTCGCGGCTTCGGCGTGCAATCTGATGTGCAGCGTCTGAGACCGGCAACCTCTAGCCACCCCAATCCACTCGTCCTTGCGGTCAGGGGTTTGGCTTTTTGGAGCTTTGGCTTTGTGCTGGGCTGGGGAAAATTTAGGGCAGCTCCTTCGCGACCGCACAGCAGGTCACCAACGATCAGGAGCTCATGGACTGGGCCAGGCAAGCGGTGGCGTTTTGAAGAATCCTGAGAGACCTCCCTGTCATCTGCAATGTGAAAATCATGTACTGGGTTCTCCAAATTCTAGGATCTTGCTCGGATCCTCTTATGATGAGGACCCTCCTGTTAGAAGTACCTACCGAAAGGGACCAGAATGATTTAGATAGCTGGGTTCAGGGCTCAGCATGTTTAAGGTTCTGGGTTCTCAGGGTCCCTTACAGTCCCTTCACCATTGCCCTGGGCCATGGGGTACTTCGAAATTGAGGTCGGCGTCTGGGCCGTGTAGTCGAAGACCAATCAAATCCCGACACCACAGTATACATCCGGAGATATGAGATGGCTCCGCGCCATGCTGGTGCTGCGTAGTCCGTATGTAGGGCTTACCCCTGTGCTCTGCGAAAGAAAGTCAACATACCCAAGCAGCTCCTCCTTCCTGCGGGCAGGATGGCTTGCTCACCTCTCTAAAATATGGTCCCTTTTGGGGGTTACTATCATAAGGCCCCTCTTCTTTAGATAATTTAGAGAACTAAACCCTAAACCCTAAACCCTAAACCCTAAACCCTTTTTCCAAGACCCCCCTGCCGAGGACCGCCCCGGACACCTTTGATGCGGCCTTGGCTGAGCCAGCCCAGCGTTGGCTTGCCCCGAGCGTCTTTAGGGTTTGGGGTTTAGGGGGGGTTTAGGGTTTAGGGTTTAGGGTTTAGGGTTTAGGGTTTTAGGGTTTTAGGGTTTTAGGGTTTTAGGGTTTTAGTTTTTTTTAGGGTTTTTTAGGGTTTTTTAGGGTTTTTTAGGGTTTTAGGGTTTTAGGTTTTGGGGTTTTCGGGTTTTAGGGTTTTAGGGTTTTAGGGTTTTAGGGGTTTAGGGGTTTAGGGTTTAGGGTTTAGGGGCTAACCCCCTTAAATTCCCTGAGCCCTTAAAACCCTTTGATCTTGTTAGTTCTAAAGATTCCAAAAACTGTTGATGATGAGGTATTAACTGTGCCATTTTACTCATTTAATTTTCGTTGCGTTTGCAAACAATTTTTAAAAGTTTGAAGTTTGAAGAAAGATGCAGTAGCTCTAGGTGGTGCTTTCAATACCACAAACAGTTGTAAATATTTTGACATAACAGATTGATCAGATGTTTCTTTATATAACAATGATGCTTCTGTTTCAAGTACAAGACGCCACCAATAATTGAAATCCCCTCGATTGCTTATTTTATTTTCCAAATCGTGTCTATACATTGCACGTCCAATAACTGTGGGTTGATGTAGCCACTGAACCCTGGGCCCTCCCCGCCAGGCTCAAAGAAGCTGAGTTCCTCTGCGGCGGGGAGACGGGTCAGAGGTCTCGGACTCAGGGCCACAATGCCTCGGCGCCATGGCCGCCGCTTCTGAAGGGTTTAGGGTTTAGGGTTTAGGGGTTAGGTTTTAGGGTTTAGGGTTTAGGGTTCAGGGTTTAGGGTTTAGGGTTTGGGGTTTAGGGTTTAGGGTTGAGGATTGAGGGTTCAGGGTTCAGGGTTCGGGGTTCGGGGTTCAGGGTTTTGGGTTTTGGGCTCGGGGCTTTAGGTTTCCAAGGTTGTCGGTTGCTGATTGCCTCGGGCTCCGGGTGTGGTGGCGTTTCGAGGTTTTCCCATGTTTCCCCCCATGAGGAGGAGGAGTAGCAGCAGCAGTAGTAGTAGCAGTAGTAGCAGTAGTAGCAGCAGTAGCAGTCGTAACAGTAGTAGCAGTGGTAGCAGTGGCAGCAGTGGCAGCAGTAGTAGCAGCAGCAGGAGGAGGCGGAGTCGTCGTAGTCGTAGTCGTAGTCCATGTTCTCAGCAGTGCTCGATGCGCTCTCAAGTCGGTTTGATTTTGGGCTTACAGCACCTACTCAAAGTGTATTGGACTCTTATGGCATGCAGGACTTGCGGTGTAGCGTGGTGTAGCACTTTCTGGTTTAGGGTTTGTGGTTGAGGGTACGCTGGGCTTGCTTACTCCCGAAAAACAGCGCACAAAACACCAGCTTCCGTCCATGCAAATATTGGCTACACACCCTGGTGGGCTACCGACGGATGGCGCCGCTGGATGTTGTGCGTTTGGACCTGCACGAGGCCTTGGCTTTTGTGATGCAGCATTGGACTTGGCCTACATGAACGCAGCTGCACAGCACAGTGCTTTTTGGTGTATGAATGTGGTGCACGCCCATGGTCCGTTTGGAGTGTAGTGAAGTGAACCGTCCATCCTGCACGAACTTGAAAATGTGAAGCCCTACGTGGCTTGATTAAGATTAAAAGCAGCGGAACAGTCAGGCCTCTTCTCGACAAAGTGTTATCGAGCTGGTGGTCTCTGCCTTCCATGACGACCCAGGCCTCACAGCGGTAACCTGCCAGCGAAACACGTCTAGGGATGTGATGCTGGAGGACTATGTAGCTGGTGTCTTGTCAAGAACTGAAATATTCGACTGCTGCGCTTGCCTCTTGCATTCGCCCTTCTAACTCCAGCACGAATGTCGCAGAGGCTTTCAATGGGTCATCGGCTCCGAGCAGGGATCCGCGGGTCAATACGTACGTGGCATGGCATGCAGATGGCACGGGATAGTGCTGTTGACTCCGCAACCTGTTGTGGAAAAGCAAAGTTACGAACAATGCTCTGAGCTCATGTTCAAATGATCAGACGGACAAAGGGGTAGGTTCACAAGATACTCTGGGTAATGAGGCTGCAGGCTCGTTGTTGAATTCGAGGCCTTGCGGAGCAATGGCATGAGCACTTGATTTCAGAAGCCATAACAACATAATATAGAAAGTCCTTTGAGGATGGTGTTCTGGGACTTCAAGAACCAATGTGATTCCGTGAAAGCAAGCCTGACCATGGCTCATGTGTTACACACTGTCTATTCCTAAAGTCCAAATTGCTTGTGAGGCTGAAAGTGGAGTTTGCAACTCACTCCCCCCCCCCCCCCCCCCCCTCCCGTCCCTCAACCCCTAAACTGCAGAGCCCTTGGACTGGCCTGAACTCATGGCCTTGGAGGCTCGTTCTGCCCTTCTTCCGGGGATGCAGAAGAGTCTGGAAGTAGATGTGGGGCTTTCACGACTTCTGTTGTCCCACGGAGTTTCCGCAAAGAAGGGCGAAACAGAGGGCTGTTCAGCAATAGAGGGTCCCACTGTGTTCCACTGCTTCACCGTCCTAGAAGGCTACATCACCTGGATTGCTCGCCTGGTAGCACACGTGGTGCCCGCTGTGGGCGGCACGGCCCTGGGCGCAGTGTCTGACGAGGCAGGTCCTCGGTTTCGGGCTGCGACGGGCTTGAGGGCTGTTGGATTTTGGGGGCTCGTGTGCATGCGCCCGCTGTTGCATGCTGAAGCCGCCGTAGGTGCCATGTGAGCAATCTGTCCGCCTGCACATGAAGGTGTATCCTCAGTCTAATAATGCACAAAGCTACAATCTGTCTACATGAGCACCGTGCGGAGCGGCATGCGCATGCCCATGCACCATCGCTGGCAAAAGGCTGAGGCGAGCATTGCATCCCAGAGCCATGCACCGGCCGATCGAAACTTCCCCTTTGCTTGCACGACCCATCTCCTGACTTGTGATTAGCCTTGGCGTTCATCGGCCAAGGCCCTTGGTTTCCAAGGTGCCCCAAAACAGATGCTTGTCAACTTAGGGGCTGGTTTTGTTCTTAAGTAGGCTGCCATAACTTGGGGTACCTTGTATGCCTTGTAAACAACGGGTTCTCTTATAAACACAACCCCCTGTCAAGAGTCCCAATCAATAAGAACACCCCGACTCCTAAACCCTAAACCCTGAACCCTAAACCCTAAACCCTGCCCCAAGCATCCCAAGAAAGGCCTTGCTGGGGGTGGCCCTGCTGCTTCCTCCGGGAGCTGATCTTGAGGCCGGCGGTGAAAGGAATGAGCCCGAGGGCTTTACAAGGGCCTTTACCAGGGAGCTGTGGGTTTGAGGGTTTGGGGTTTAGGGTTTACGGTTTTAGGGATTAGGGTTTCGGGGTTTCAGGGCTTGCGAGGCTTCGTGGCCGCGCCACAAGACCTCTATTGAATGTATGGCGAATGAATGCGGCGCACCACTTTGTGCGCAGCCTGTGAGGTGAGTTACGCCACAAGCATCTGCAGAGAGCACCGATCGCCAACGGTAGTAATTATGGCAGTTGGAAGGTCTGTGAAACCCTAAACAAGATGACCGTCCTGAACCCAAACCGCCCAAACCCTTTAAACAGACCCTGAACCCCTAACAAAAACATAATAGTAATAATGGTAAAATCAAGTCATCATAACAAACACAAAACAAGCACACACACACACAGAGAGACAGACAGACACACACACACACACACACACCACACACACACACACACACACACCACACACAACACACAACACACAACACACAACACACAACACACAACACACAACACACAACACACAACACACAACACACAACACACAACACACAACACAGAACACAGAACACAGAACACAGAACACAGAACACAGAACACAGAACACAGAACGGCCTTCACGCAGCCCGAGGATGCTGGCCTGGGGAAGCTCACCGGCGACCAAGGCACCATTGGGCCATGTTGGGTGTCATCGGAGCATGTGGGGCCTATGTTGAGTCAGGATCCCTTTTGCATGTTTGGATCAGCTCTGAAAAAGTCTCCTGTGAGGTCCCGTGGGCAGTCCTCCATTCCAACCCAACAAGGCGACCCAAAGCAAGGACCGGATATTTGCTGGGTCTTCGGCTGTTGAACCCAAGGATTGAATGCATCCTTTTATGTGGAGAGGTCATTGGGAGCCAAACACAAAGATGCCGACAAGAAGAGATGCGGCTTCCATGCCTACAAAATCCCCGTAAGGCATCGTAATCCACCCTGAACGCCAAAACCCGGAAACCCGACACCCCAAGCCTGGGATCACAGTGCAAATCGACAACTGGCCAGGACGTCCTGGCTTGGGCAACAGCGGCACGACGAAGAGACCGAGCTACTGAGATCAGCTAGGGAGGGTGGATGGGTGTTGCTTGAAGTGCGAAACCCTTGATACGAGCCTGAAGCTGAGATGATCCAGTGTCTTTGTTGAGCATGTCCAGGTTTTTGAGCGAAAGCATGCGAAGCACAGCCAAAGCCAGCCTAGGCTTTTGGAAAAACTCCACAAGGAGCCCCAAGCGCCCGGCCACAACAACTCCCTTGAAACACCTTGCGAGAGCACCGGCTACCAGAAATCAGTCCGTTATAGGCCCTGGGCCGCTCTACGGGCGAGACACACCGTGCGTTGGCGCCCATGCCGCAGCACGGCTGTTCAGCGGGAATTAAAGAGGCTTAAATTTATAAGAACATGTGTGTATATATATATATATAGATATGCACATGTTGTTTTACATGTTACTTGTTGTTTTTTGTATTCTATCTTCGTACTTATACTTGCTCAATATCGATCCAAGTTGGTGACGAAATCTAGGTGGAAGTATCATAGATGTTGGAGTGATGATTGGATGAGTTAAACGTTGGCAGGGTCACAGTCGTCACAGCCTGCGGGCTGGAAATGCAAGTTGCGTGGACTAGGGACCGAGAGTATGGTGCTGATGAATACGAGTCTGGGTGCCCCAAAAACACTTTGCATTGTTATTCCGGAAACCATCAAGCGCGTTCTGCCCAAGGCACTGGTACTTGTGGATCCTCGGCGTTCACCCGGAATCACAAGGACGAGGCTTCCAGACAATCCTGCATTCACCCTGCCTTCATGAAGACAGGACTATGGCTCTGGAGCTCAATATAAGCAGAAATGCTGCACAAGCACTGGCTATTCGGTTTGGGGGCTGCTTGCTTAGCAGGTCACCTCTTCCGTGCACGAGACAGTACGCATATGCTATTCAACACAGGAGTACGTTTTTGTTGTTGGGCGATGTGGAATCGTACATAGACTGCATGCTCTTCCCGGTGGCTGTACTACATTGCAATTGAGCCAGTTAGATGCAACCAGCACAGCCCTATCGTTCGAATCCTGGATGCTGCAGGCGTAGGGGCAGCTCTGCTGGCCGAGATCCAGACGATGCAGGACGAAGCCGCGGACAGACAGCCCTGCATGGGGCAGAAATCACGCTTTGATTTCCTACAGGGTCCTAAAGCCTTCGCCAGGACCGCGACAGGGTTCCCTGCTACTTGGACGGAGCCTCAGGTCTCATGAGTCTCAGGTATCTCCCAATGAATCCGTAGTTAACCTCTTGCCTCACCGCATGCCCAGGAGACGAGCAAATGGACAAACGTCCAGATCTACTCCAAAAAGAGCTTCAAGCTCGAGCGAGATGCAGGGGCGCCTAGTGAGAGCTTATTTCATCGTGCGACCTACGGGGATTTAGGGAGAAGTCACAGACCACGATCTGCCCACAGCCCTTGTGGTTCGGGCCCTCCTTCCCCCGGGATCATGGGGGGGCTGGGGAGGCCTGAGGCCCCCCCCCCCCCCCAGTGTCTTCAACGCCGCTGCACTGAGTTCGTGGTGCTCGCCAAAGACAAGAAGGGACAAATCCACGACAGGCCGCACCCACACATCCCCCAAACCGCCAACGTGGTGTTTTGGTAAGCCCCCCTAAGTCCTCCCAGCGAGGTCATACGTAGACTTACAAAAACCAGAAAAGCCCTAACCTTAAACCCCAAACACCTAAACACCATAACTTATTTAAAAAATTGGGGATGTACCCTAACCCTAAACCCTAAACACCCCTAAACGCCCTAAACACCCCTAAACACCCCAAACACCCCTAAACACCCCTAAATTACCATAACTGGGGTTAGACGTGCCCCCCTATGAACCTCCGAGTCGGTCTTCCAAGGGCCGCCCTTGCCTGCAAGGGCTTAACACAAGGGCTTTTGAAACGGTTTAGGGTTTAGGGTTTAGGGTTTAGGGTTTAGGGTTTAGGGTTTAGGGTTTAGGGTTTAGGGTTTAGGGTTTAGGGTTTAGGGTTCCGAGGGCTAAGCGGCTGAGCAAAGCTGAACATGAGAGTGTCCGATTTGTTTTGGGGTTCTTTCCTTTCTAGATCTGTCGAGCCCCAAGAATCAGTCCACACTGCGCAGGTTCGACCTTGATGGCGGCATGCACGCCATGATCCGTTTTCCAAACGCCGGTATTGCCAAGCTTTGACGGCTGATAACAAAAAGGTGGCTTCCGAAGTCTCAGAACCTGCACGTGCAAGCTTGGGGTGATGGGCAACGCTGCTTCTGCGATCTGTCTCTGCAGATGCCTTGGGCGCCGAGGTGCGGAGGCAACATCATCGCAGGCAGTTGTGCGTGCAGCTGCTACCGGCAGTCCATGGCAGTCCCCCCTCTTCTTCTTCTTCTTCTTATTCTTCTTCTTCTTGTAAAAAACAGCTGTACTCCTTGATCCAGACGGCCTTGTGCTTCTGGCTCATGGTTCTTCCTCGAGTCCAGCGGTCGTTTCCATGTGCCTCGAGTAACCTATGTGCTGTAGTATCCTGTAGCAGAGAGGAGAATTCCTTGCGTGGTCTAAACGTGTTTTAGGTACAGCGTCATTTTAGGCGTAGTCTCTGAGGCATCCCTCTACCCAGGCCCAGCAACACGATTCGGCCCTCCCTGCTGCCTTAAGACCTCAAGAGATCCGCCTCGTCCCAAAAAAAGCACCCTAAGGGGAGCCCTAAATAGCCCCAAGCCTTGCTTCCCCTTTCTGGTTCCCGGTGACCTTGTGTCATAGCAGGGGCGTCCCCGACCCTCGACGCAGACCAGAACTCTGCTGCTCTTTGGCTTGGCCTGGTGGTGGAGCGTGTTGAGTCAGACATGTCACTAGTGGCCTAAGCCCACAGCCCTTTGATTAACACACAAAACTGTATGTCATGGTCGTCTCCCAGTTCAGCTTTAAACCTTTCAGAGGGGGGCCTTCTGTAAGTGGGATGCGAAGCTTGGATTCTTGTGGGAGTTTCATCTTTCAGGTGTGGATGAGGCTGTTGATTGTTTCGGTTTGGCTGCATGGGGAATTGTTGTGTCAGTGGAGCGGTGGGGAATTGGTGCAAGAGCATGCGGGGAAGGTGGGGGGGGGGGGGGGGCGCTCGGGGTGGGAATCCGAAACCTTAAAGCCTAAACCTGGGAACTGACTAGACTTGGATTCTTGGGCATCAACTGGCTATACATAACATATGGGGGTTTCCGAAAATAGGGGTGCCCTTTCTTTGGGGGGGGGGGGGGGTCCCTTGAGGGGATTCTATTCTATTTGGGGTAAAGACTATAAGAGGGGTACCCCTGTTTTGGGAACTAAATACCCATATGTCTATGTCATACATGTGTGGCTGGGCTATAGCTTGTCCGGAAACTTGCTGTAGCGACGAAAGATGAGCCATCCTGGACTACCTTCTTTTCGGCTGCCCTCAGCAACTGCTGGCGACAAGAGGTCCTTCTTGGCAAGATTGCGTTCGCAGCCCTGATCCTCTCTGCTTCTTGGCATCAGCTTGGGTATGGCAAGAAAATTTGAGCCCCCAAGGTATTTTCCCTCTTGACTGGGACTTGAGGCGCTCCTGGTCGCGGCGATGGGTGCGGCCATATACCTGGAAGATAAGCCAGGGCCCTGTCTGAAAAACTGTGGATCCGTCCAGCAGGGGCTTCACTCTAAGGGCAGGCGTGCTTCGAAGGGTGAAGTCTCATCTGGCATCTGAAGTTCCTGTGCACCCAAGGACACTCCAATACGAGCGAGACTCGGCCGCTCGTAGGGCCAAGGAACGCTTCTACGCGCAAGCCTGAGAGTGAATCGGAGGTAAGGTGACCGTGCATCTTATGTCAACCCGCACTGAGATGGTTCGTATCAGATTGCGAGTTAAAAAGTTTAGCTAGTTGTCGTCTAGACACACTGTACCTCGTGAACATTGCATGAACTCTGCGCTCTGTGGAACTCATTCAAGAGAGACGCATCAAAAAGCGTTGAATGCAGCGTCATACCAAGTACATGCGTTCATGGATGGCTTTGGGTGGTCTCCGGCTCGGGTGGGCATTCGAGCATTGCCCGCTTTTGTCATGAAACTGTGTCGAGAGTTCGTGGTCAAGCAGTCCCTGGACCATAAACATGCTTCGCATTCGTCTGCTGATTTCTGCTGGAGTGATCTTTTTGACTCACTCTGTCGCTTTCCCAGTTAGCATTTAACGCGACGCGACCCGCCACGGCCTGCGCCTGCCCAGCGGCGAAGCAACCCAAACCGGAGGCCGCGGATTGTCACACGTAGTGGTAAACAAGCCGGTGGGTTGAAGGCCGGTTGGGGGTGTGGGGGGAGGGGTGGGGAGGGGTGGGGAGGGTGGTGCGTAAATGTTCCCTAATGTTGATGCATGGCCTGCCTCGGCGGATTGATCCCCATTGCCCCCCCAAAGTCCTGAAGCCACCCGCAAGTAGCATGATGCTAGCGATGACAGCACCCAGGCTGCTCTGTCTGCTGCCCCGCCTGGCGAGCAGCTCACGGCCTGGCCGTCAAACCCAAAACCGTTCAGTGCTTTGGGGTTTAAAACTGGGCGTTGAGCCAAATTTGGGGACCTCTGCTTCAGAATACTCTTTGTAGCTATTCAGAGCACCAAAAACAGCTAGCCAGTTTGATCAGCCATTTTCATCAGAATCAGCCTCCAAGTACAAGGGACATTTGAGTGTTCAGCACGGCCTTTGTATTGCGGAGCTCTGTAGGGCAAGTCACGGCCCTGCTTTGGTGCTTCGGCCAGCCACTCAACATCAGCCGCCATTGCCACAGGCTCTCCGAGATCGTTCTAACCCATGGCTGAGGGCCTGCTTAGGGTTTAATGACGTTTTAGGGCTTTGGATATAGGCTTAGGGCCCCAAGATCAACTCCAGTCGGCTCATGGCCCTATTAAAATTCATAGGAATTAATCCTGGGCCCTCAATCTATAGGCTTTAGGCTTCAAGGCTTAAGGTCCGAGGCCCTACACTTAACCATGGTGCTGAATCGGCTTAGCCCCAAACCGTCCCAAACCCTTAAACCCCTCTGGCCACAGGCTGGCGCACAACCGCCGCCGCCGGAAGTCAGGACTTCGAAAAACATGTTTATAGGCAAAGGCTTCAGTAACTTTTTTTCGAATTTGTGCGACACGAGCTTTATGTAGTTGTACACGACTATGGGTTGCGAATATGCAACACCATAGCTTGTGCGTCGTCTCTCAGGGCCGCAGGGTTTGGCACACTTGCATCAAAGGCAAGCTTGCTGTTCCGGTGCTGCGTGATCCGATGGTGAGCTCCTGGTGTTTCTGTAGACAATGGAAGCACCTTGGTGAGGATGATGCCTGCACCAGTCATGTACTACCAGGCGCTACTGCGGCGGGAAATGCAATGAGTGTTAGCACACGGTCTCTCACACAAGTTACTGAGCACATGCTTCTCCATGTAGAGCACGGATATGAAAGCGCCGGTATGTCGATCGAATGGCGCGCTGACGTGTCGATCAGGAGGGCCATGGCTTCGCAGCGCACCTGCGCACACTAGGCGAAAAGGATCAGCATCGCCATCGTCGCTGCTATCTCACCTTCAACCACCATCAGCATTCTCCTCCTCTGCCTCAGAGGAGGCAGCAGCAGCAGCACATGAAGCTGGCCAGCCGATACTTGAGCAGCCTTGACCCGGATTTTATCTGAAAACTTGCCCAAACCCTAAATGGCCTCAAACTCCAACCCAAAGTGCAAGCCCTTAGCCCTTACAGCCAAACCCTTGGAAACTTCAGATGCACCCTAAACCGCAATCTCTTCCTTCTTTACGAATCTGCAACCTGGTCTGCCAGCAGGTGCAACCGATGCTGCCCTTCCCAGCGGGAACGAGCAGCGTGCGCTCCATGGGTGCAGGCGAGGTTTCCGTCACTTAGGGTTTAGGGTTTAGGGTTTAGGGTTTAGGGTTTTCTCGGTAGGCCCTGGGGGTATTTTACATTTTTCCCTTCTTGGGTTTCAGAGGATCATGTTTAGGAACAATTTTCAGAGGGTGTTAAGGGCAATCCTAGTTCTTGTTGAGGGTTTTTCTTGAGAAAAAGGACGTTACAGCCTTGCAGATGGTGTTATGGGGTTGATGCGGGCTCTTTCGGGTTTAGGCTATGGGGCTTCAGGGTGTAGGCATTAGGGTTAGAGCTTTAGTCTTCTAGTTGTGTGTGTGTGTGCGTGTGCAAGCTTAGTGTTTGGTTGTTGCTTCACATCTGGTCATCTCATAAACCAAGGCTGTAGGGGGCTTCATGTGGTTCACACTCGGCTGAGCTTCGAACGGATAGCAAGAGCAGCCAAAGTAAGACGTGTGTGTATTCTCAAGGCCTATGTTGACTCGCATTTTTGCTTCAGGCTGTTCAAGGGTTGGCTCCTAGCAGCAGCCGTCAACCAAAAGCTGCTGCGACCCAAAACCCTAAACCTAAACCCTAGCCTAAACCCTAAACCCTAAACCCTAAACCCTAAACCCTAAAGCACAAGCGCGTCAAAGTGTTTGGCAGGTCAGACGCCCCAGGCCACTGCGCGGCAACTCGGGGGGGCTTTGAAGTTAAGGCCTCTAAACCCCTAAACTTGCTTTGTTTTGCGGTTCTCATCAAAAACAGTAAAGGGAAGGGGCAGGGGCGGGGGGGGACAGAGGGGGGCAGGGAGGGGCAGGGGGGGGGCAGGGAGGGGGGCAGGGAGGGAAAGGCAAGGGGGGGGCAGTCTTACTTACCTCCGTCACTTCACCTCCTTTTTTGGTCTTCTTATTCTCAAGAGTGTGTGAAAAGCTCGAAAGTGCCAACACACGCAGCCAAAAAAAACAATTGTAGAACAACAGAGGGGGAGAGGAAGGGGGTTGGGGGGGAGGGTGTTGGGGTGGGGGGGGGGGGGTGGGAGGGGTGTTCGTGTAGGAAGGAGTACGGTATGTTGAAAGCCCATGCGACTCAGTGGATCGGAGTGGGAGTTGAAGATTTAGCAAGGCGATTCGTTGTGTTGCGAAGACAGTTTTCCGGGACTGGACAACCCCCCCCCCCCCACAGAAAAAAAAAAGGTATTTCCTCAGGTTCCTCAACCTGAAAGCCTTTTCAACCCTGCTCACTCCTGCCTCAGTTGAAATACCAGAAACATCCAGCGACGCTCTCAACCCTGGAACCCTTTACCTGGACCCAAAACAGCTGGCATAACAAGCCTATGAGACCAACCCCT